GACTTGTAAAATGAAAACCACAAAACATTGCTTAGAGAAATTAAAGAGAACTAAGATAAATGGCAAGATTTAACCATTTTCAGGCTTTGAAAGACTCAGTATTGTGTTATGACATGAATTCTCCCCAGAATGACCTAAAGACTCAATGTAATTCCATTAAAAATCCATGCAAGTTTTCTTTGCCAAGTAGGAATTGACCCCAACTGATTCTGAAATTATATGGAAATTCAAAGGATCTGGAATAGCCAAGATAGTTTTGAAAAAAGAATAAAATCAGGAGACTTACACTACCTGATGTCAAGACTTACTATAATGTTACAGCATTCACGACAGCTTAGTACTAGTGTATCAACTGAACAGGAAAAAAGAGAGTCTAGGTAAAGACCTTCCCTCAATTACCGACAAAGGTAATTCAATGTGGGAAAGGATAGTCTTATTAACAAATGATCCTGGGACAACTGGATATCAATACCGGAAAAATGAACCTTGAGTCTTACACCATATAGAAAAATTAATTCAAAACGAATCCTTGACCCAACATAAGTGCTACAACTATAAGGTTTCTAGAAAAAACGAAAACCTTTGATCTAAGAGCCAAAGGATTTCTTAAGCAGGACATAAAATACAGTAACAATTTTTAAAAAGGAAATTAATAAATTGGGCTTCACCAAAAGTAAAACCTTTAGTTTTGAGAGACACCATTAAGAGAATGCAAAGGCAAACCACAAGCTAGGAGAAAATATCCATAATACATGTATCTGATGAAGGACTGATATCAAGACTATATAAAGAACTCCTACAACTCAATCATAAGACCAACAACCAAATGAGAAAAAGGCAAGAGATGTATTTGAACAGAAGCATCAAAAAATAATGGCCAATAAGCACATGAAAAGATACTCAACATCATTTTCATCAGGGAAATGTAAATTAAAACCACAAAAAGATGCCACTACATACTTGCTTGAAGGGCTCAAATTAGACTGACAATTCAAGTGATGGCTAGGATGTGGAACAACTGGAAGTCTCTCCAAGGCTGACGGGGGCATAAAATAGTGCCCGTATTTTCTTAGACATGCTCTTACCTATATAGCAATTCCCCTCTTTGGTATTTATGCAAAACACTAAAAACATGTCCTAAAAAAGACATATATTAATGTTCATAGCAGCTTTTTAAATATAGTATAAACTGAAAACGACTGAAAATATCTATCAACAAGTGAATGGATAAACAAATCGTGGAATATTTAGAAAATGGAATACAGCTCAACAGTAAGAAGAAAGCGCTACTACACACGGAACAGGATGGATGTTCTATTACATGAAATTATAGAATAGGTCAAACTTACCTTTAGTGACAGGAAAATAGATCTTTGGTTGCTTGAGACTGGGTTTGGGGGAATATTGACTGAAAAGAGGCATGAGGGAACTTTTAGGGTGGTGGAATTGTTCTATATTTTAATTGGAGTGGCTACACAAATGTATATGTTTGTCAAAATTCATTGAACTGTACGCTTAAAATAGGTGCATTTTATTGCATGTAAATTATTCCTCAAAGTTCATTTTAAAAAGCCCAAAAACAAAATAAAAAACCACAGTGTAATCATACTATAAAATCATCTGAAAAATAGATCATTCGAACTTCTATACCAGACAATAATGTTAATAATTGCTTCACTTTTGTGGGGTGCTAATGAAAATATAGCTTAAAATAATGTGTTGTCTTAAGATGTTCAGTAGAAAGCTCTAGGGATGTGATTTTGATAATACTTTGGCAACAAGCTTTATATAAAACAAAGTCATTTGTGGGAAATGCTTCATTTTAATAGCAGAAGCTACAGTGGATGGCTACCTTTTAGCCTTAACTGAATAAGTGGAACCTGTCAGATGTCCTACAGTGTGAATTTCTTTCATTTCCATGTTGGCTTTAAAATGTGGGGATTACTGTTTCTTTAAAATAAATAATTCCCTTTGTAAGGCCTCATCAAATGTACAGTTTATTTTTCTGCCCTTTACATTTTTATGCTAAAATATAATTTTATAGTTAAATTCTTTCCTGTGCCCTTATAATTTTATGCACCAAGAAAAATGATTACCTCCAATGGTACATTTTCATTACTATTCAATTATTTTGATTGTGCAGAGATTTTATATTAGCCCATATATTCTCAGGCTTAAATGCCAGAAAATTTATACAGACATGACTGGAGTTATATATAATAAGGTCTAGTATGCATGAGTTTGCAAGTAATTTCCTTTTTTTTCAGCATGATTTCCTATTTCATGACTCAGTTTTTGTGACATGTATATATTTACTCTGATTCTTACTACTTAAGTAAGAACTTTCCAGGGTGTTGTGACAGTGTATGAGGACAGTGATATAGAATATTTATAATTGGGATTTTCTGTGAGACAGGGGGATATTTGGTCACCATTTCACAGGGCTGCATATGGCATGCATACTCAACAAAAGGCTTGCATTTTAAAATGCTGCTTGTTTCTTTACTTTAATTTTGTCTGAGATCTGGCCACCTTCCCCACAGTCCTTAGAAGAATCCATTTGCAGTCAGACTCTTTTTATCTATTGAAATAAATGGCATGTAGTGATTCCTATGACAGCCTTACTGATAGAGGGAGGAGGTGACTCAGATTGAGATGAGGGTAGAACATGTGACTCCATCATGCTGTGTTCAGATTATTGTTGCAGAAAAATGCTTTTTCCATTCTCAGAGTATTTGAAGTTCCCTCCTCTACTCCCTTAAGTCTGGGCTACGGGTCCCTCCTGTGGTCTCCACAGGACCCAGTGCTTCCTCCTTTCAAAACTTATCCCTTGGAATGGTAATTGTCTGCTTCTTTACCTGGTCTTGTGGTTATCTCTGAGATTTTTGTTGGCAAGGAATACACTTCAGCTTTGCTGTCTCCATGGTGGCATGTGGTGCCAAACACACGAAGGGTGGCAATGAACAAGTGGGTTTAAGGAAGCAGTGCAGTGACTGCTATGATCATTGTCTTTGCCCTAACTGAGCAGAGTTTATGGTAGCAGCATTTCTGATACAAACCTTGACTTTTCAGCTGGTAAAACTGAAGAAATACCCACCAAACCAAGAATCAAATTCTAGATGGTTTTCTATAGCATTGTGAGTGAATTCTGCATGTTAATGGCACTTTCTATTTTACTGTTTATAAACAGTTTCAGTCCTGTTCAGGAGTTGGAAACAACCTTGCTGGGCCTGTTTCCTTATAGTAATAGTGTGTTCCACTCACCCTCCATGCCAAGCCCTAGCGTGGATGATCTTCGTGAACTTTCACAACAACCTGATGAAGTCAGTGGTATGTGGGTCCTGGGGAAGTTGAAACTTCAGGAGGTTGAGTAACATGCCCAAGTTCACACACACAGCAGGGGAAGAGCTCGGGCTCAAAACCAGCCAGGCAGGTGCAGAGCCTTCACCATTTCCCAATGCTGTCCCATTTTATTTTGTCCAAGGAATTTACCACCGTCGGAAAAATTTATATTAGAATGCTTAGTCTGTGATTGCAGAGACATTGTATCCTCAAGTATAAAACAGTGCCTGGGACATAACAGGTGTCCAATAAGTATGGAATTCATGACTAAGTATTGCCTTCCAGAGAGTGATGTGAAAGGTTAGGCTAAGTGCTAACCTTTTATGACATGCCAATTTCTTACATATTCCAGTTCTTACATTTTATGAGTATTCATTTTAGGAAATGATTTGTTCAAATAGAAAACTTCTCAAATGGCTTAAAAAGATGCTTTCAAAAAATTCTTAACTATGAAGACACACCTGCCTTAAATATCCATCCACACATATAGGAATTTTGACTATACGGTAACGCAAACTTCTGTATATATGGTTGGTGCTGTCTCAGATCCCTCCTGTGGGGGGAGTTATTCTCTTATGCCGCTCCTCTCCACCTTGTCATCTCTTAAAGGTGCCTAAAACAAATCAGAACAAAACAAAACGAAAGTAGCCCCCATGTCCCTGCTTGCTTTAGAGGGGTAGCTCCGACCTGGCTTTGCTATGACAAACATCTCCACGTTCTAAAAAGACCTTGGATCTTCCTCACTTCCCATTTCTCTTGCTATCTAATCACAGCAGATGACAGCCTCATCAAGACAGCTGGCTGCTGCTCAGAACCACAGAGGACCATGCCCACAGAGCTGCCTGGGACGTCCTTACACTGGGAGCCCGTGCTGCTGCTCAAACCAGTTTCTTCTCACCCCTCCTCCTTCCCCTTCTCTTGTTGGAACCCCCACTTTTTCCCTTTTACTGCCTCTTTCCCAAACATATGATTTGCCTCCTCACTTAGGAGTTCAGTGGAAAAAAAATCTAGCACTGAGGAAGCAGTGTGTGTATTTCTGCCAGTGATGTTGGCTTCAAATCCCCTCCCTCACACCCACATTCTGAAACATCTTCCTCCCTTTGCAGCTCCACAACTCCTGTATGACCTTCTGTCCCACCCAGGACCACAACCTGGGCTTGCGAATCTTCTCTGCCCTTCAGTGTCATCAGTACTAACATTCTGTGGTTCTAGGATGGCTTTCTTTACATAAGGATTCACTAAACAGTTCATTTAATTGGGAAGTTCCTAAGTATAATCTGTTTCTAAAATATGAATCTGTTTTCTAAAAAACATATCATGTAAACATTTTAAGGGCACACTCTCAATTGAAATAAGCGCATAGATAGTAAATTTTCCCCTGCCATGTCCTCTATTTGAACCCTTGCCTGCCTCCTGCTCTGGAATAGGCTGTCTCAGACCAGAGTTTGGGACCTCGTTCTTTCATGCTGGAGCAGAGTTCATATCCTATTTACTTCATTGCATCTAGTCCATTCCAGAGTTGGTTTGTTTTTTTTCCTGCTTTATCTCCCCAAATCCCCTGGCACATAGCTGTATATCCTAGTTGTAGGCCCTTCTAGTTGTGGCAAGGAGTTGTTTTTGAAATGTTAATTGCCTTTTGTTGTTATCTTTATATTCAGATTATATTCAGTGCCCATATTGTATGAGGAGGTTTAATGAAACTGCAGCCAGTCAACATATTAATTTCTGCAAGGATCAGTCTTCTCGCCGAGTCTTTGATCCAGCCCAGACGGCAGCCAAGCTGGCATCCAGAGCTCAGGTGACTCACTCTCCCTAGGTCTTGGCGCTTATGCCCTTGCATGCCTGGGGCAAGCAGGTAGAATTTGCTGGGGAATGTAAATGACCCATCCTGAGAAATGTAAGGATCGAGAGAGCTGACCACTGTCACTCATCCTCGTGGGAGCTGGCTTCTTTTGAGGCCTGCTTTCCAGCTAATAGCATCTTTGGGTGTTGTAGAAGAAATATTTCTATAAAACTTCTTAGGATGAAGACTTGAATATGTAAGTGGTGTTTCTATAATATTGTAAAATTCTGTCTATCCAAGGGTAGTTATCAGCCTTAACCACCCAGAAAAGAATGGTGAACCTGGCCTGAGTCAGGGAAACCGTGTCAAGGAAGACGTGTCTACATGTCATAGGTCTGCTGCATAGAGCAGGGGACTTCAGCCTTTATGTAAAACCATAAAATCAGCCAGTTAAAGTGGATAAATGGAAGCAACTGTTATAAATAGGGTACGAATAAGTAAAATGACAACTTGACCAAGAAGACAACAGATTTATAAAAACAGAACTGGAGCTGGCAAAGAGCTCCATACACGTCAAAAGTCCCAGAGATATAACTTACAGTTTAGCATAAAAATCATTAGTTTCAAAAAAATGGGTCAGACCCCCCCCAAAAAAATACTTAAGAGTGTGAAACATGTTTAGAAAGATTTTCATGAAATCTGGTATCTAATGGGGGCGGCTCCCCCTCCAACAATAGCATTTCCCATGGTCTACGGGGTCTGAGCTCTGTCGCCAAATACATTAGACAGTTATTGAATATCTGCTCTCTATCAGACACTGTGCCAGGTGCTGCTCGGTGAAGAATCTGTAATTCGAAGGAGGACTTGGACTTAGGAGCAATGCAGTGTGAAGGGGTGACAGCTGACGTAGATAGGAGCACTGGAGGAGGAGGCCGCTGTGGTTCATCAGGGGCTTCAAAGAGGGTCAAACGTTTTCCGCTTAAATAGCAAATGGTTTCACCAGCCTAGAGTTGAAGTTGGGAGAAGATTATGCACAAAATGCCCAGCTTGTGACCTGAGGAGCCCAGCCTGTGAGGCTAAAGCATAGAGGCCTGTGGGCGAGTGACAGGATGGGACAGGCAAGGTGGATGGCAGATCTCGCAGGGCTTTGACTCAAGCTTGCTCAGAAAGGAGGAAAAGACAAATTAAGAGGATAGAGGCCGTAAAATCTGAGGCCAGCCAGCCTGAGGTACAATTGTCTATTATAGGCCTCCGGTGTCATTCTGTAGGCAGTGTAGACTGGAGCGACATGGAATTGGTATTTTAGAAAGATAACCCTGGCAATTAGCGTTCAAGATGCACTGGCAGGAGACCAGTTAGGAGCCACTGCAACAGGGAAGGAATGAGGGCCCAGAGTAAGAGGACTAATGGAGTGTGTGTAGAGGGAGAATTTAAGAAATAATTGATGGGACTGAGAAGATGTTGGATATAGGGTAAAAGAGGATCAGGTTGAGAAGAAAGTTTTTTAGCTCCAGAGCCCAGACAGGTAATAATACTATACATCCAGACAAAGGAACATAGGAGCGAGGGACTAGGTGTGTTGGTGGGGCAGGCAGGTGGTCATGATGACTATAGTTGTAGAGAGTCAGTCTTTACCCCTAAAATATCATGGGAAGCGGTGCAATGTAGAAAGAGCTCAGATTCTGCAATCAGTAGTCAGGGTTTGACTTTCGATTCTAGAATTTGTTATCTGCAGGCAAACTTCAACAAGTTACTTAGGTTCTTTGAGACTGTCTTTGGTCTATGCCTGGCTGAGTTGTGGGAGGACTGCAGATAACACTGTAAGTCCAGTGCCTTGCCCACAGGGGCTCCTCTGCCTTCCTCCTTCCACCTTACTCTCTCTCTTTCCCCCTCTCTAGTCCCTTCCTGTTGGGAAGCACTGCAATTTGGGGGCATATGACAGCTTTGGGCTTGAATTCAGCTTAGCTTTGGAAAGGTTCTCTAATGCTACCTATACTTTCTAAAGCAGTAAAGGGCGCGTTACATTTCTTGAGTGGTTCTTCTAACCAGTTCATGAAGTCAGTCGGCATTAGTGGGGCCAAGGGAGCAGCGGGAAGCAGCAGACGGAAGTGCTTTTTATGCCTGAAGAAGGCCAGCTGGCCGTCCTGAGTGTAACCAGTGACTTGGCCCTCTGCCTCTGCTTGCTTTCCAGAGCTGAGTGGTGACTGGGAACGCAGAAGGAAAGCGGCCTGCTCTCTGAGCTCGCTCGCTGTGGAGTGCCTCTGAGCAGCCGTGCTCGGGCCCTCGCGCCAGCTTCCCCGCCCGAGCCTGGCCCAACAGCGGGGCTTATTCAGAGGAGGCACAGAAAAGGAGGGCTTGTTTCAGTGTCGAGGGGCTGCTAACAGCACAGTTCAAGTGTTTTTCCGTTTTAAACATAATCAACTTTAAAAATGTGTTATACCCTTAACCAGAAGAGACCAGTGTGGGCCTCTGAGAATAGCTTCCTTTCTTTGGATGGGGTTGAGCTGCCTGCTGTCATCTCCTTGCTGTCCTTACCCACGTGAGAATTCCTCCTTGGAGTAACAGGTTCTCTTTATCCCGTGGTTTCCATGGAAATGTTGGTGGGCTCAGTAGTGAGGTAAAAAAGAGCTCCTGAGGAACCTTTTGGTCCTTATTCTGTGTTAATGTAGCTATTCTGCTCCTGCTGCTCAGCAGGGAGGGGTGTGGCGTGGGGATGTTGGAATTCCATGTTTAAAACATTTGCTGCCTGCCAATGTCTGTTTTTCTTCTCTGTTCATGTATTTAAAAACAAAATCATCTTCAAGTGTAATGAAAAACTAAAATGTTCCATAACTATCCTTATTGACGTTAAGTGATTTCTTATGTCTCCATACAACTGATTTTACAGGATTAACACATCACCACTCCCCTAAGGGCTTGATTATGGAATGAAAGCTCCAAAACCCAGATGGGGAGGACAGGACCAGGCTGACTAGGGTGCAGGGTGTGTGCATGCTCTTTCCTGGGTGCAGCAGGTCCCCAGGGATAACTCCAACCTGCTGCTGGTTAAGTGGAGACAGCTTCCCCTCCAGTGCACTCCCTGAGATTACAGAACTGCTTCCTCTCTCTGTAGGGCAGGGCTCAGACAGCTCCAAAGAAAGAACCGACCGTAACCAGTGCCGTGGGAGCTCTGCTACACAACAGGGCCCTGGAGGCCTCGAGTGTGGTCCCAACCAGGCCAGGTGAGTCGGAGTGAGCATCTCAGCTTCAAATGATGGGGTCACAGGGGACCACTGTTGGCTTGGGATTCATCAGCAGTTGGCAAAAGCTATGACTTCCGATGTTGCTTTTGAAGATAAAGATAACATGGGTTTGTTTGAGGTTAAAGCTTATCTGCCAAGAAGGAATATTTCTTAGTTTAATCAGGATTAGATAACTGACAATATATATATAGTCAGATCTGATTACAGCAGCAGAGTCTAGGACCACCATTTTTTGGTCTGGTAAGATTGAAAAGAAATTAAGAATGGGAGGTAACAGTTTGTCAGGTGTTGTCTTGAAAATAAGAGAGGAAAATGAAATTGCTCTCTTGAAGAGAGGTCTGTACTCCATGTTCATCACAGCATTTTTCAAATAGCCAGGATACAGAAACAACCCGAGTGTCCATAGATGCATGAATGGATAGAGACGTGATGTACATGCACAATGGAATATTATTCAGCCATAAAAAAGAAGGAAATCCTGCCGTCTGTGGATGGCAACATGGATGGACATTGAGGACATTATGCTAAGTGAGAGAAGTCAGACAGAGAAAGACAAATACTGCATGATCTCACTTATATGTGGAACCTTAAAAAGTTGAACTCATAAAAGCAGAATAGAACAGTGGTTGCCGGGGGTGGGGGCTTGGGAGAAATGGAGAGATGATGGTCAATGTTCAAACTTCCAGTTAGAGGAGGCGTACGTTCTGGGGAGCTAAAGTACAGCACAGGGACTAGAGGTAACAATACTGTATCATATTCTTGGAAGTTGCTAAGAGAGTAAATCTTAAATGTTCTCACCACACACACACATGCACACATACACATTAACTATGTGAGGTGATGGATGTGTTAAATAACTTTATTGTGGTGATCAATTCACAGTATATATGTATATCACATCATCACATTGTACACCTTAAGCTTACACAATGTTATATCCAGTTGTATCTCAGTGAGGCTGGAAAAGAAAGGGGAAGTGTTTCCTTCCTAGAACTAAATCATTTCTTCAAAGTAGCAGAGAGGGATAACCACCATTATAGGACTTACTGTGTGCTAGAACCATTTCTTTAATCCTCCCAGTAATCCTCCAAATGTTTTAATCTGCGGAAAGGGAGCCTGGCTGAGAGAGAATAAGTTACTTGTTCAGGGCACACAAGTGGTGAACAGCAGCGCTGGACTGGATCTCTGTTGTGCTAGCCCCTGTCCCTGAGCCGCATTAATGAACGGGGCGTTCTTCTTTATGAACTGCATGTGCCAGGAACACAACATGAATTGATTCGTGAGCCTATCGGCACTTCTCACGAGGAGTCTTATTTTGAAGGTACTATCAGACCCAGAGTAAGAACTGCCAGCCCCACAGCCCCTAAAGTAACAGCGTGAGAGAACTTTATTGTTAGTTTTTAAATTTCTCATGCGTTGCTCATCATGGGCTAAAAATTGAATTGATATTTTAAAATTTTTCCCACAGACCTTACACCCAAGTCATTAGTGTTTTCCTGATCTGTGAAAAGTTCACAGTGGGGTAGGTTTTAGTTTTCACTTAGGAAAAAAAAATCAAATTAGATGTGTATTCATTTGGTAAAACTCTAACAAGCTTTTTCTAAAGTATATTGATTAGTGTCCTTCAGAAAAGACAAATTCTTTATATTATGGTTTCCTATTTTTTCAAAGAATATATTATAATGCTTCCCTTCCAGTGAAAAGCACTCTTTTAAGTTTGAGGTTAAAGTTCATTTGCCGAGCGGGAATGTTCCTTAGTTCATCAGGATTAGATAACTGACAGTGTACAAAGTCAGATCCGAGGACAGCAGCAGAGTCTGGGACCTTCGTTCCCTCGTCTCGTAAACTCGGAAGGAGATTGAGGTGGGAGAAGACAGGGTGTCAAGTGTGATTTGAAAATAAGGGAAGAGTTTCCTTCCTTGAACTAAACAGTTTCTTTAAAAGAGAGCAAGGCATAAGTGAAAAGATCCTAAATCAGGACTCCGGAGTCTCGTGTCCCAGTACGTGACATTAAACAGAACGTTATAAAGACACCATTCTGATACATTGGAAAATAGATTAGTAGGCCAGTACATCTAAGCAAAATGGTATTCTGTTTGCTCTTGACTAGTTAATGGTGGCCTATAGCCACTGTGATGCTGCCAAGTAAAAGGCACAGCTCTTCCTGTGGCCCGCACTGGGCTCTGTACCACCACCTAACCTCTCCTTCCACTGTCTCCTCTCCGTCCAGCTCCAGCAGCCTCTGCCTTATTCCTGGAATGCGACAGACCTGCAGGCTGTTGGCTCAGGGCCTTTGTACTGGCGTCCCCCTCTGCTGAAAACCAAAATACTCCCCACTACTCTGCACTGCTCACTCCCTTCAGCTCTTTGCTAAGTGTCCTCTTCACAGTGAGGTCCCCAACCTCTGCGTTTAAAATCAATCAAGACCTCTATAATCCTCTTTGTAGTTTTTTAAATAGCATTTGTTACCATCTAATAGTCAATACATATTTGTTTGTCTCCTCCCCACCTCTCAAAAGAAGGAATGTGAGTTTTATGAAGGTGAGATCTAATTTGTGTGTATTTTATTGCAGTTAGAATTGCGCATGGCATGTACAAGGTGCTCAGTAAATACTTTTTGAATGAAATATATGAGAGACAGTGGGTGTCTTGATTCTAGAATTTCTCATTTAAATTATTGGCATATGAGTAGAATTGGCATGTGAATTAGCTTTAAGAGATAGCTTTTTGTTTTATTTCAGGCTTAAGATGCTTTTTCAATTTAATTTCTTGTTCTTTCCAGTGACCTCACCTGCTTACATTTAAAAATAATGTCGCCAGGGTTAGTGTACCTTAAATTAGCCACATTTTTATTAAGAGCCATTCTGGAGAGGAAGCGGGAGTATATTGAGGGGAGGTGAATTCTCAAAAATGTTTAAGGCTTGGAGAACAGCACTGAGGGCCTCTAATGTGAACAGGCCCCTGTGTGATTCGGATTCGCGCCTACTGTCTGTTGTTTTTGTTCTGGTCAGTATTAATCTGTTTATAGCAGGGGGTCTTTTTAAAATTGTTGATGTTGGGCTTTGCTCTTTCTAGATGGACAGTCAGTAGTTTAGGCCGCTTGGTGTCCCTCGCCTTCCACATAAATCCTCTTGTTGTCTTTCATCTGGCTGGTAGTTAACCCCTAAAACTCTGGCTTTCATTCTTCAACTCTTTTAAGTAAAATTAGCATTGAGTATCTCCCATGTATAACATTTTGTTCTGAATTCACAGTCAGAGGAGATACGTGTGTGTGAGTCACAATCCTTATCCCTCCCAGAGTCTTATAAGAAGATATGCATGTACAGGAAAATCTCTGATACAACAGAGCATGTGATATTATGTAAAGCTGACACACAGCTGCCATGGATGTTCAAGAAGATTTGTTTATTCAACACATAGTTATTAAACATGGTTGTTTCTTGTGTCCATGGATTCTTAAAAGTCTAGGGGGAGAGGCGGTCAATAATTATATCTACTGTTTAACAGCCGGATGTGGAAGTCCTAAGGGAATGACAAGAAGGAGCTGGGCTTTGCCCAGGAGGCTTTCTGGGTAGGTGGCAGTCTGAGACAGGAAGCTTTGTGAGGTGAAGGACTGGGGATGGGCTTTCAGGGTGAGCTGAAGATTGACCAGTGGAGGAAAGTTGCAGAAGGAATGAACAAAGCTATGAGAATGAGAATGCGGAGGACATACTCTGGAAACAATGGCCCGTTTGGCCAAAGCATCAAAAAGAGCTGGAGTGTGAACAGGAATCAAAGCTAGAATGGAAGGCTGGCCCTAGAGCAAGGAGGCCGTAGATGCTTGGTGAGGCGCCCAGACGGTGTCACTAATGCCCACACTGGTGTCACATCGTCAGGCACTCAAGTCTGTGTAAGTTAGGCAATTACGATGGCCTAGGAACTTTTCGTGTCTAGCCACTTTGTTAGCCTGCAAAAATTTCTTTTGAGAAAGAGCATTTGAAAAAATTATCATGTAAGAAATTAATGCTTATGGTAGAAAATATTGGAAAATGGACGAAAAGTATAAAGAAAATAAAAATCATCCATAATTCCACACTCTGACATGACTACTTTTAATATTGATATCATTTTCCATTTTTTCCTATTTACACTTCTTTTTGTTTGGTTTTTCTCTTGTCTAAGTTAGGATCATAGTCTGGGTACATATCCTGATTTTTTCACTAACAAATTTTGAGCATTTCGCTATGGCAAAAGAGTTTCTTTAGAAACAGAATAATATCACAAGAATACAATGTGACTTATTTAACTATTTTCCTGATGTTGAGCAGGTAGATTGTTTATACTTTTTTGCCATACTAAATAACTCCCTTTTTCATGGACAATAGTCCACACTTACTGGTACACACGTCTCAGCACCACATATATTAATCGTCGTTGACCCTCATTTAATCCTCACAGTAACACAAGGGGGCAAGCATACTGTTCATAGCCCTAGTTTACAGCTGAGGAAAGCATAGAGAGATAAAGCTTGTCACTTGATGGGAAACGGTGGAGCCAACCAAATCTCTGTCTGCTTTGGTAAAACTGGGTCAAAAAATAGAAACATTAAGGAGATAATTATATATTATATATATAAATTTATTATATATATATTTTTATATATTAGGAAATTGTTTTAGAAAAAGGTATGGCTCTTCCTTCATTCCCACAAAGATTCAAATATTCAGATGGGAAATGAGTTGATAGCCTGGTCAACAAATACCTGCTGGTGGCTATTTTCTCAAGGGTTTTGATACAAGAGCGGTTGATTTCCTGGGCAGGTACCTCTGAGCAGCAGCTTCTCCAGTACCTTTATACAGAGAAGCTAAGTTCATAGGAAGATGTAGTTCTGGGTTCTAGAGCTGCGTGGCTTCATATCTTTAGTGAACTGCATTTTACAGCTTTGTTGGTGTGGACTCTGCTTTTATTTCTGGAGCCAGTGGCTTGGGTCAAGTTCAGCGTCTTCCCTGTGCTGGCATCCCCTCCTGTCCTAACTTCGGTGTGGAGCAAATGCAGTGACTGTTGAAGGGTCAGCTGGTGATTCTTTGGAAGACATAAAACATGTAGATCTTTGAGTAACACAAACACCGAAAGCTCTTTCTGTTCTCATGTCCTTTGATAGTTTGAGTCACGATTTCCTCGAGTTGTTTGGTTACTCTCCGTTCATAAAACACTGATTAGAAAGGAGGTCTCTAGGACAGAGGGAACTTATTCCTTTTTACAAAAAGTGATTTCTCTGAGAATCCTGTCCCATACCAAGTGATCCAAAGCAGACCATGGTATGCCATGCCTCTGCCTGTAAACTCCTACATCTCTGCACCTAACAGGGCCCCTGGACACAAGGGAAAAGAACTCTCTTTGTAGAATGAGTCCATCGCTATGTAAATAACCCCTGGGAGGGAAGGCAGCTCATGCTTCCATAAGGCTTCTCGAGCCTTTCTAGCATGAGAGCAGTCTGAGAATTGTGAAGACGTGAAATACTCGGGGTGCATGTTGAAGGTGGGGCAGTAGTGGGGAGGGATGTTGGGAGTCAGCTTGTGTAACTGGGGGGCCACCTGAGGTGGTGATCCGGAGGGCCATCCATGCTAAGTGAAGGGCTGGCAGCAGAGGGGAGAAACCGCCTGAGACAATCCCTGTTTTCCTTATTATTTGGCCTGGGATAGAGACTGAGTATTTGTCTATAGCTACAAAACAAAACAAAACAAAACAAAAAGGAAGAACAGAGACTTTTGAGTCCAGTGAGAGGATTTCATAATCATTCCCTTTTTTCTTGCTGATGTTTGCTTTTACATAATAACAAATCTGTTCGTGTCTGCAAAGGATTAGCAGTGGACCCTGCTTCTGGAGCAAAATTGAGACAAGGATTTACTAAGTCTTCCAGAAAAGATTAACTCCTACAGGCCAGGTAAGAAAAAAAACTTAACGTCTAAGCCAGGTGTTGCTGATCATCTAATGTTCAAGATCAGTTAGTGAGCCTTTAGCAGAATGAATCCATAGCAGGCACACCAAAGAAAATGTGGGCAAACTCTGAGTTGGGTTAATAAAATGTACGCTCTTGAAACTTGCTCTTTTGTTAAACATGTAGTTTGAAAATGATACTCAGTCTTTGATTCTTGACTTAACGGACAAGCGAAATAAGTTCTCATTTTGAACTGGAGGGCTACTTCTCTTTTTTCCCAGCACATTCCCCCCAAAAGAGGACAATACCCTGAGATTGACACTGACTGGGATTGCTAGGAAGTTGGAGACTTTTTTGATATTGTGAATTGTTTGTTAAAAATTTTAAGAGGCCTATATTATTTAACATTCTCAGTTGGAAACAATGAAGTTCTAAAGTAAATGCCTGTTCTTCCTGCTCTCAGACTGGCTTCTTGAAATTCGTCAGCCTGCACGGCTGTGTACCCAGGAATGCCACCTAAGGGGAAGGAACAGTAGACGTCTGTTGACACGCCCATGATTCCTCTCAAGACATCACGTAGAACAAGTAAAAACTAGCTTCAAATTTTCTTCTTTACTCCCCTCAAAATTTTCAAGACAAAATCATTAAACAATACATCAACCTGAGTGATGATGCTTGATTTAAAGAATTACTTGGGGCCAGCCCAGTGCCCTAGTGGTTAAGTTTGGCGCACTCTGCTTTGGCAGCCCAGGTTCAGTTCCTGGGCACAGACTCACACCACTTGTCTGTCAGTGGCCATGCTGTGGCAGCAGCTCACATATAAAAAGAGGAAGGTTGGCAGCGGATGTCAGCTCAGGGCAAATCTTCCTCAGCAAAAATAAATAAAGGATCACTTGAAGCTTTTTAATTGGACATTTAATTGGCTTTTAAAGAAATGTTGCTTTGATATTAGAAACTTTTAGTAAAACAGTCTTTGGAATACTAGCAGTATTTACTTAGTAGGAAACTTATTTTTTACCTAGATTCATGTTACATGATAGCTGTGAAATCCCAGCTTTGATATTTGCTTCTAATAAACATTAAACTATAATTAGTAACTACTTCTATTTTAAATGTCCACCTGTATGCCATGTAGAACCGTCTCACATATACCAGCGCACACAGTAGGTTTTTGGGGAACACTGCAAAGGGAACAGGGAACAGGTTACAATAACTTTGCCACCCGGCGGGAATGATGCCGTGTGGCCTCAGGCCATTTATTGATCATGGCCAAAGCAGAAGTCAACCATCCGTGTCACCACTGGTTTATATAGCTGTGTTGGGAAGTGGTGTCTCAACTGTTTTTTCTTTGTTGTCTTAAGGGTTAATAAATTCTTTTTGTAGAGTCGTTTCTACTTAACTCATGCTTTTTAATCTAAGAATCTTTATTTTTTTCTACCCTCAGGGAATTTTCATTAGGAATTAAGCCATTTTTCCTGTCTAAATTTAAGGAGGAGAATCCCAAACTACTCCCATGTGTAGTGCAGCAAACACAACATCTGAAACTCCTGTGATCTGTTATTTTGGGGACTAAATGCTGTTTCATGCCAGGTAGATCAGGTGTGTTCTGGAGCTGACTGAAGAAGACTACACCATGTGGAAGTATCTGAAGTGGACCTTGGGAGGCTTTGGTTGAGGTGAACCACTACTCTCTCTCTCCTCTTGCTGTGGGAGATTTCCTTCCCTTGGAGAGGTAAGAAGGGATGTGGGGACTGACTGAGACATCCCAGAGCAGTGGATTCCTACTGATGAGGTAACCTATGTCCCTTTGTCTCATTTCTTCCCCCAGGTTAAACTGTAGTTTAACAGTCCACCATGTCAGCTCCACATGCACCAGTCCAGCCTCAGGGAGCTTGTCTGCAATCGTCCCGCCCTTTATGGTCATCAGCATCACTGTTAAGTGCGGTGAGCAGCTAGGGTTTCTCATATTTGGCTAATAGGCTTCTTTGATGGGCCAACAAACTCAAGGCTTCCTTTTCTCTACCCACTCCCACCCTTTTTAGAGATGAAGCAAACAAAAATAAACAGGCTTGTCAGACTCAGGGGGACATACTTTCTGAAGGACTCCCAATAAGGAACAAGCAAGTTTCTAATTTGTACTAGAAATTAATGGTAAACAGCATTGTAAAACTGGATCATGGTAGCCCAGGGTAGACAACCTCAGTAACCAGTATTCTGACCCATACATCCAGAAACAAATTACATAACCTTATGGAAGGGTTCCGAATGTCATATAGTAACTTTTAGGAATAAGTTCTTAGGGCTGGGAATTTAACTGAAGCATGTAAGCTTCTACCTTAAATCATAATTCTTTTACTCAAAAACAGGTAGTTTCTAATAGATACTGAATAGAGGTCAGAATAGTAGTTTCTGTGTGGGAAGTAATGACCAGGAGAGGGCATGAGGGAGCCGGAAATGTTGTATATCTCCGTCTGGATGGTTACGCAGTGCAGGTGTACATAAAAATTAACCAAGCCGTATGCAGGATTTGTAGAGTTTATTATATGTAAGATATATATCTTCATATAGAAAGCCTCTAAACACAAAAGACAAAGCTTTAAAAAAAGGTTAGGTTTTATATTTGTAAAACTCATTAGATATCAAATTCAAGAGATAGAGTATAATTACATTGCAAAATGTTATCTTTTTGAATAAAACTAATATTGACTTAAATGATGAATTTTAAATGCGTTTATTGGTGATTAAAAATAATACTTAAGCAGAGTAGTATTTTAAGCCAGACAGAGCAAAGAAAATTCTTGTTTTTTTAATATATATATATTTAAATTCCAGTAATATTTTCTTAAATTCCTGTTAAAAATATAATCAGTATTAAAGTCAGCAAAATGCTTTTTTTGACTGACGCCTGGATTATTTTACCACTTAACCTGGTTACACAGTGATTTTTTTTTTTTTTCTGTCAGATGTAACTGACAACCAGTTTAGTCTTTAAGATAAATGAAGTAAGTAATAACTCACATTGTAGCATCTTGTGGAAAATATTCAAACTACATTTAAAATGCTGTTTTAAAATGGAGACGTCTATTATTCCACAAGAAATTGTTTCTGTAAAACTACAGGTTGGCTACGGCAATAGTGACTAAACTACATCCAACCCTGAAGGTAGAAAAATCCCTGAAAAGAAATACACAGCCTAGTTATAGTATGCGGCACAAAGGGTATTCTCTTATTTGAAAAGTTCTTCCATTTCGGAGGAATCCACACCTTTCCGTAGGTCCCTTACTAGGCAGTGCCACACAAAGTTATTGAGTTAACATTATTATGATCATGGCTTATGATTGATTAAATTCAATTTGACGAACACCTAGATATAGCAGCCCTCGTTTGGATGTTGGTTATGACAACAGTTGCAGTTCCATTAAGAATACTTGCTTGTCAAATTTGGTACAAAGCATGAACACTCAGGACAGATTGGCACAACACATGCAGTTCGAGAACTCTCTTATCTAAAGTCAGTCATCACTGAATAAGTCATATTCCCAGTCCTGCTTTCCAAATCTTTCCTTGTATGATAACTGATGTTTAAAATGCTTCTTAAAACATCTTTCAGGATATGACAAGTAGGCTTCAAAAACCAGTCATCTGAATGCATGATGGAAATGAGGCAGGATAGCCGAACCAGTACCAGCCGGGAAAACGTGGGGGATGGGAGGGAGGGGGAGCTGGCCCAGGCTCAGAGTGCTCATGGCTAGTGAGGGATCTTGTTGCTGCTGCCCCAGACAGCCTAACCGATGGGGCAGAGACTCCCCAGGCCCCAGGGTGAGAGTGCTATTCCCAAAGGCATTTTGGGTAGCAGGAGGGGGCAGCTGCCAGAAGCCCAACAGAGGGGAAATGTCCAAAGAGGCAGGTATTGTTAGGTTCACAGCATCTGCAGGTAGCTCCTTGGGCAGGTTTACTTTACCAGCACTTCCCTTAGCCAGATCAAAACCTGGGTTGAGCTTGTGAGGTGACTGAGGCTCTTGCAGAGGCAAGTCCTCAAGCAAATTAATATTGCAAAATCCTTTAGTATCTGCTTTGAGGGACAGGCTTGCAAGTGGGGAGTATGAGGTAGAACCGGTGTTGTACTTGTGATTCTGGAGGGGGGCGGGAGGAGAGCTGGGAGAGGCCACGGGGTGGAGGGGGAGCAGGGGCTCTGGCAGCGGTTGTACAGGCTGGGAGGTTTGCTCCGAGAGATTGTGGGTGTGGCTGTGTACCTCAGCTGGCAGGCTACTTGCAAGCCCGTTCTGTGCAGGAGCTCCTATAGGGAAAGGAGACAACGGGTCAGGCTTCAGCTGAAACTGGGGAGAGATGGAGTGGAAGGTGCTCAGAAGGTCTCCAGACCGCAGGCTCTCCTTCATCAGCTCCTGTGAGTGTGTCTTCTTGGTATGTCGTGTGAGGTGGTCTTTGCGCCCAAATCTCTGGGCGCAGAACTGGCACAGGAAGTCCTTGCAGCCTGTGTGGACCACCAGGTGGCGCCGCACGTCCTTCCGGGTGTAGAAGCAGCGCTCGCAGTGGTCGCACTGGTGCTTCTTCTCCTTGGTTCCAGTAGGGGGCTTCTCTTCGGCGTGGGCTTTGAGGTGGTCCAGCAGCACCTCTGTGCTCCCTAGCTCCAGGGCACAGACCCCGCAGGTCAGGTCGCCGCTGCTGGCCGCATGGAGGGCCAGGTGCCTCTTGTAGCCCAGCACGGTGTTGTACTTCTTCCCACACTCCTCACACCCAAAGGCCATTTTGTTGGGGTCATGAGTCTGGAGGTGGTTCTTCAGGTGGTCTTTCCGGTTGAAGGTCTTCTCACAGTGAGCACACTGGTGAGATTTCTGGGGTGAGTGGGTAGCCATGTGCCTAGGAGCAGAAGGGAACAATTTCACGAGAGACTCTGGTTTTTAAGAGCCGAAGAAAGGTGTAGAAACAACATTCAAATGTTAATATTTTCTCTAGGTGGTGGTATAAGAGATCATTTTCAGTTTTAAAATCATTTGCTATATTTTCCAGGTTCTACACATACATAAAACTTCATAATTAAAAAAAGGCACTACTAAAAACTTGTCATTTTCACGACTGTAAAGAATATGCTTTGAGAACATATTTTCCTAATGTATACAAAGATTTCTAAACAAATAGAAGTATACACGTATTTAACAATATCATGAAAAATATTTTCCAGGAAGGGGTTAAATGAGTATTCTATACTCTGAAAATTCCTGGATTTCCAAAAATGACCCAACTTGCCTTCTATACAGAACTCCATTACCCTCCAGTTTCAGGTTATTGTTCCCAATACAATTCCTAGTTGGTCTTTTTTGGTTTTTATTTTAATGCAAACTGAAAATCACTGCATATTAACTGATAAATTAAAAAATTTATATTTATTCTAATTGCTAATACATTTGGATGTATTACTATCATTTTTATTTCCTGCCTTCTATTTAATGTTTTTCTTTACTTTTTTTTACTATTGGGTTGCCATATGCTCTTCTTTTCCCTTCTGCTGTAGGAAAGTTATATTGTTAATTCTATTGTTCCAATAAATAATCTTCAGTTTTTAGCATGTACACTTAAAGTCTAAAATTAACCAATATCTATTGTCTCACCCAAAATAAAACAAAGAATTTAGAAATAATCCTTTAATCCTGCTTGGTCTTATGGACTGAGACAAAAAGTTCAGGCCATAGACATAACACTAAAAAGTCTATCCTTCACCTTGGAGAAAGCATCTAACTGGACCCAGAGTGCCAACCCCACCCCTGTGCTCCGAGCCTCATGCCTCCTGGGAGATCTTTATGCTCAAGTCTTGCTTTCCTCCATTTAACACTTTCTATCAACTGTCATCTCAGATATTTCTTCAAGATCCCTCTTAGATGCCTTCAAGTCACTTCCTAAAGGTCACTAGTAATTTCATTGGCAAAATTCCAAAGGTCTTTTCGTAGAAGGACAAAACTGCTATTCCTAACAGCAGTTCTAAGTTCTTCTTTAACACTGAGCTTCAGGGACAAGCCATTGTCATCGCAGTCAACCTGGAAATAGCTGTTTTTTATTTATAATTGTAAAGCACAAGTTAGTTCTGGGAAACCATCACAATTCCATTTCAATCATAGCTCCTCTGAATTCCTAAAATCTAAACTGTTGGTTTTTTAAGACTCATTGAGATAAAGAAACCCTAAGTTGTCATCCTTAAAACTGTAAAAAGGCTCATTTTAATAACTAAATGTATCATATAAAACCCGAAGTCCTATATGTTAGTATTTTTTACAAAATAGCATCCTTAATTACAACTTGCGACTTGCAGGTGCAACACAGTTTGCTTCATGTCCCTCTTGTCAGTTAATTCTTTTAGGTGTTTAGTCTTTAGAGGCTAAAACTTGTCCTACTAACAATTTAAATGCAACAGAGCTTGTGACTTTGGATACAAAAGAATTTCTAACAACTCATTCTATAAAAAAGATAGAATTTCTTTAAAGACAGTATAAGTCAAAGTGTATTAATCGCACCTTCACCCCACCTTCTACCCTGTACTGTCCATTCCTGATCCTTTTCTAGAGGTAGAATTGGTAAGGGGTCTACAGTAGCAGCTGTTCAGAAGATAGTGGTGGTTCTGACTAGGAGGCAGACTGGAAGCCAGTTCAAAAATATAAAGCTGATCTGAATCTAATTGTCATTTTCTTAAATATAAAGCAAAACCTCATTATCTCCTTCCTGTCTCCCTTAAGAAAAAGGTAGACTGCTACATGCAGGTAATAGAAAGAAAAGTAAGTTCCACCAGTTCCATCCAAGACACCAGAGCTTGGCACACAAAGGGACACACACAATGTGGTGAGCTCTGTGAGACAGGTCCAGTGTTGAGGAACACGAGCCACTGCAACAGCTACTCGAGAGACCCGAAATGATGCTGGTGTCTTCAAGTTCCAGAAACATTTGTCAGTTGCAGAAAGGGTTTGTAGAGTCTATTAGAGGGCAGAGAACTATGTTCTTAATACAACATATCCATAGATGCATCATCAGGAATAGGTGTGAGGGCACTGATTTACAAACTTGGCATTTAAACAACTCTCCTTCCATTGGCTCCAGTACTAGTGAATAGGAAGACCCCACAGCCCTGTCCTGGATCTTCCATTCTTGCCTCTCTCCCCTTTTCTCTTTCTGGAGGATCTTTATCTGCTTAGATTCCATTGATCACCCATGGGTAGATCAATGCCCAGATAACAACTTTGGACCTGGTGTTTCCCACCCCCTCTCCTGTCCTCTCCTGTCCTCGAGATGGGAAGGGCACAGGGTGGCACAACTAGTACATGAGCACTCTCACCACTTTTCATATTTCGGTGGCTCCCATCCCTCTGAGTTTCCTGACTCTGTCCTTGTCCTGGCATCCCATTCTTCTCTTTTTAAATTTATCCCTTTCTTACCAATCTAGAACAGGATCATCTTAGAGCTGAAATTACCTTCAACCACTTGTTTCCTTCCTTCAACTTCTCTTCTTACCTCACAACCCAGGAGACCACCAGATTCAGCCTGTCCTACAGTAAGCACCAAATACCACCATCTTTGGGTGTCACCAGGATCATGTCAATGATCTTAGAAGTCTTCAGGCGCAACTGCTTCCATTAAGACTTCCAACCAACCAGGACTTTGGCCTGCCTTGCCAAATCATCTTTTCTTGCCTCTGCTGTCTCCATCTAACTGCTTTCACTGTTCGCTGTAGGGGACTCATGTTCTCTTTCCCACTTAAGCAAGTTAGTTATTTGCTCCTTCAACCTCCGCTTATAAAATGGAGCTTATAGTGCAACTGAGGGAAGTGGGATGGAATCCCACCCTTTTTAAAAAACAGCAAAACCTAAAGCACCCTGCCATCTCACCACACTCTCTTCCTTCATGAGATCACTGCTTCAGGCCAGAGACAAGAAATGGCGGTGGCCGTGGCAGGGAAGGCGGTTCTTGCATAAGTACACTGCTTCCCTTTTCTGCCTCAGTTCACACCCTTAACTGAACAAGTCGTTTCCCCTGGTCAGAACTACCGCCTCCTAAATATCACTTAAGACATCATCATCTTCACTGTGGCTACCACAGTAATCCCACCTAATTCCTGTCACTCCAGTAATCTGTTAGCTCCACCGTCTTTTGCAAATATTCAGCTCCTACACGTACTTTGGTCTTTATCCACAGTTAGAGTAGCTTCACTGTGGCTTAACTGCAGCCAATGCTGCTTTCAGTGTTCGGGTAAGGAGAATGACTGGGTACACATCAGAAGCTTGTTGCAAAACAGGAAGCCTTCGCAACAGAATTGGTGCACACAGTAGGCACTCAATACTTATATTTTTGGCAGCTAGAGATTTGCCTGTGTACAGAACACATTTGAATTTTAAAATAGCTAAGCATTTATAGGCTGATTTTAAAAATCAGCTTATTAAACTACATTATCTATAATAGTGATATTTTTGAGGGCCAGGAGCATAATGAATATCTTTTTTCTCTTTCAAGTGCCTTCCTCCAAGGGTACTCCAAGATTTAGTAAGAATGTGGTCCATGTTAATACTCAGAAATCTTCTCTTGCTAAATTCTGACTCTCAGCTTTGCAGTTATAGGTGAGGAGTTTGAAATTTGAAGCCTTAAAGTTCATTTCATGAGGATTAGAGGCAAATGACACATTTCCCTTAACCAAGTATCAAAAGATATGTATGTTAGTGGGGCTTCTGCATGAGTAGCTCCGAGGGCACCGCGTACATAGTGTGCACAGCATCCGCTGTCAATCAGACTACTGCACAGCTTAGCAATTTGGTGTACGTTCTGTCATTTCCATGATATAAAAATCCTTTGGAGGCAGAAGCTATATCCCATATATTCACTTCCCTCATGGAAGTGAGGACCTAACAGACACGCAAGGACTAACTCAGATTAAATGTACTATTTTTTAAAAAAGGACTCATCTGTTAAGAATGGTTTTTATCCTTTGGCGTATCATGGATGCCTGTGGAAACCTGATTAAATGCACATGACATCTGTAGACCCAACAGAATCTACTTATTAGCGTGGCTTTTAGACCCTGGTTGAGAAGCTGCTATGTTCCTCCTCTCCATCCTCACTGTCAAGACCTGGACAAGACCTCCGGATTTCACGCCTGGACTGTTACAACACATTTCACATCGGTCTACTTGCCTCTTCTCTCTTCTCCGAGTTACTACCAGCGCCATCTTTCTAGCATTCTAATCAAAGCATGTTTCACTACGTAGACTCATTCGCTCAAACCAACCCTAAAGGGGACAGTGGATCAGGCCTGCTAGGAGCTGCTTCCTTCCTGCCTCAGCCGCTCCTCCACCAGCACTACCTCTGTACCTGTGTGCTTTAAGGCCAAGGCTGAGGGCTGTCCCAGAACCTCTGCCCGCTCCTGTTCATTCTCTACGTCCCACTGGTGACTGTTTCTTTCTGAGAAGCCTTCCTCCCAGGTCCCCTCTCGCAGTAGAGAATGACTACCTCCACCTGCACAGTGCTATAAAGGCACTTAGATTGCCTTTTAGCTGTGTTTGCACGACTGTCTCCCGCCATGGGTCTCCTCATCTTTCTGTTCTTAGGCCTGGCATATTGTAGGAGCATAAGAAATATTTGTTTAAAGAATGAAGTGACGTTGCACAGTAAAGCTGTCACATAAAGCTACAGTAAATCACTGGAGATAAACAGCTTTAAAGGCTGAAAGGCATCCACACTCTGCGTCCCTTCTCCCCTACAGCGTTTGGTCTGAGACCAGCAGAGCCCTTGAAGGCCCCTGTGCGCCCCTGTGCAAGTTCACGCCTTTCCTGAGGCCTCTCACCTCATTAACTTATATCTGGAAATGAAGGCCTTGCCACAGTCTGGCTGCAAGCACTTGTACGGTCGCTCCCTGGAGTGAGAATAACTGTGGATCGTGAACTTCTCCAGGCTGAGAAATGTCTTGCCACATATTTGGCAGGGGAAGGTGGCCATGGGCTTTGCTTCTCACACCTTCCTTTTCAGATGCGCTGACCAAATGCTGTGCCATTTAAGCACAAATGTAAGGCTGGTCCTGAGCACATCAGCAGAGCGTGGCAGCTGCACTCCAGACCAGGGGAGAGGCGGCGGCGTGCGCCTGGGCCGAGTTCTACCCAGACATGGGCCTCTCGGTTACCACCAGCTTTGCTTCCTGCTTTCCCACATCCCAATTTATCTGCAGTCTCAGGCGGGGGGGAGAAGGGCTGAGGCACAGATGAGATGCCAGGAGCAGAAAGGTAATCTGCATCACTAGAGCCGGGGCATGTCCTGGACCACCAGACTGTCTGTGGAGAGAAGAGGAACAGTGTTCTCGCATTAGTCATTTGAAAACATTGCTTTTCCTCCCCCAGCAGTTCAGAATCCACTACCCAGGATTCCACATGCTCCTCTAAGCGGCTCTAATGCAGCCCAGTTCTCTGTCCTCCCTGTGTGCTTTAAGAGGTCCTTCTGCATATAAACCACCTGTCTGACGCATCTGAGCAGTCACGCACACGGTGTGTTGATGGTGGATGAAGCACTTTCCTTTGTAATGGAGACAGCAGTTTCCACAGACTCGGTATTACCTACTTCAGACCACAATTCCAGGTTAGAGTGAGGCTCGACTGGCCGATTCAAAGGAAAAAAAATACCTGCCCTGTGTTCGAGTGTTTTACTGGTACAGAAACAGAAACCACCCCTGCCTATTCAAACCATGGGCTAGTCCTCCTCACTCACAACACAAGGTGTTTATCACACCTGTTTAAACTTCCAGGAGACGAGACAAAATCATTTGTATACATCTAAGTTAATTTGTTTGTAAGGTTACCATGCAGAAGGACCTGACCTATGATGTAAACAACACTCTTCAAAACTAGTTTACTTCATGCATGTCGTGCCTTTGGAGGGGACACAGAATAGTCCCACAGAAACCACCCTGATGGCTTGGGGTCAAGCTCAGGCCACCTACAAATGTGTAGGCTCCATCCTCCAGTAAACTTTTCTCCTACTCTCTTCCCCTTTCGCTATCGGGGACATTCCTCATTGCCCAACCCTGAAGGCCCCACTACCTGTGGGTGGGCCACATCTAGGAGGTGGGCCTGCTGCCTCCTCAACCTCAACCTGTCTCAAACCCCAATTATGTCCACACCTTCCAACCCAGGCAAAGTCACCAAAACCGGGCTCTCTTTTTCTACCAATGCACCATCATCTGAGGAGCCTGCAGAGTCTGAGGCAACATCGTGAACACCACAGTAAAACCCTGGCTAGCTAGAGTCCCGTGCTGTGCTAGACAGCAATTCTCAGGTGGTGGACGTGAACCTTTCAAGTGCCAGCACTTAAAACATCAGAGTCCTATCTGCTTCCATTCAATGCACTGGAGTCACTTCTGCGCCAGGCCAGCCTTTCCTGGACTCTGTCAAGTAAGAGGGGCACTGCTGGGAAGCTGACCGGCCACAGCAGGTCTTCAAGGGGTCTGCTTCCTGCCGTTCATTTATGCCAAGTCTTTCGAGTTGCTCTCTATTGTTAAAAGTTAATTTTTACTTACCTTTTGAGTAGCTTTCAAATCAGAAAGCTGGAGTCCAGCTAGATAAGATTTATAACAGTTACAGCATTTTAAAGATAGTAGCACACAACACATGTATCTCAACAAACGTACATTCCTTTCCTCATGGGCAGAACCTGCAGCAAACGTCTCGTGTTCCTCGTCAACTAGCTCTGATGTTGTCAGTGTCTGGTCAGAGTTCACACGGAGCCAACACAGGCAGACACCCTGCACTGTCCTTTCCCACCTGCTGGGAACCTTCAGAGCTGACGTGTGCACTCTGACCTGAAGCTTCAGCCCTGAGCCAAAGCTGGGGACACTGGCGTTCTCAGCCAGCATCTTGGCACCAAACCTCCTTTCTGATGGCAGCACGCACATACCCTGTTTCTCTGTGACCAAGTACAATTAGAAATGAGCCCCCGTCCTCGTTCTGTCCGAGCTCCTCTCCCACAGCTCCTGGTTCCCTCAGTCATCCAGTTCAGGCCTGAGGCATCCCCAACAACCCTGGCCACAAACAAAATAATTCCTTCCAGGAATTCTCTCCTGTGTGGCCGAGTTTCTGCTGCCAGGTCTCATGATGTGTCCTACTTCTCATGCAGCCTGGTCTGGCCATAATACCGGCCCAGCTATAAAAGGCACAGAATTTATCATCATCATTAAATAGACTCATTCACTGCAAGTTTCTGTGTTCTTTCCAGGTCTATTAAAAAAGATTAAGATGTATACACAATATGAAGTCTGAAATTCATCTTTTCCTTGTTCTCTTTATAGCTGAACTCAAAATAGCCCTAGTCACTCGAGAGAAGGAGCTGGTTTGGTGGTGACGATTTTCTATTTCTCTCACCTACACCAACCTCTGCATGTACACTTTTATCAGCTTCTCTCAGTAAATTCATTCTCCCCAACTCTTGCTTTTTGTGGGGTGACCAGTATGTCCAATAGAACTTTGTGTGATGATGGAAATGTCTTATATATGACGGCTATTGGACAATTACAGTGTGCCACTGAGAAACTGAAATTTTTGTTTTATTTAACTGGAAATAGCCACATGTGGCTTGTGGCTGCTATACTGGACAGCCAGAGAGACTCTTGGTTTCACTGTCAAAAGGGTTTGTAAAGGCAAGGCTGTGCTCTTCAGACACAACCCTGCGCCTGATTCACCCTCTGGTGTAATCTTTGAAGCACGGGGGCAATTTGTGTGGCTCTATTCACTCGTTCTGTGAATGCAGCAGAAAGCTCCCCCAGTTCAACTTCTAGCTTGCCCACGGGTTAGCTATGTCCTGAGTTTCCGTTTCCTCATCTAACATCCACCTGAGGCATGGAAACAGGCTGTTGGGGAAACCAACAGAAACAAGATGGATCTGAAAGCATGTTGTCATCCAACACCACACCAAACAAATATATTTATGAAACACGCAGATTAGAAGTAAAAACCATCAGTGGCACACTGGCACGTGGTTCTAACCACTCAGCTGTGGATATAAGGGGAAAAGACACACGTTCTCTCCCTACATATAATACAGCGTCTGTTATTCCTACTGGGAGGAACCAGGAGTCTGGACAACACACACGCTCACATACACAGAAAGGACACACGAGGTGGCAAGTAAAAAGCCTACATTCGTTGTTTCTAAACAAATATCAACCTTGACTGACTGCTTACCAACACACCAAGAATGAAGGGAAAAATAAGATCTGGTCAATTAAAACAAAAGTGCCTGCCCTGTAGCACTGAATAAAGTTTTCCCAGATCCACTGTCCAGCCACTTCTCTAGAGTCAGAAGTCCAACAGGCATCTTTATCGCCTGCATTTCCCCAGGCCTGCAAAGATGGCAGGCATCTTCAGGGAATTTTAGACAAGTTTTACTTGAACGTGAGACATCTCCAACTCTTTGTTCCCCATTGAACTTTCTCTCAAAGAACAAAAAAAGTTAAATGACTTCAACATTTTTATACTTATTTCATGAATGTCTTTTCCCAAGACTTTATCTTTTTGAGTTTTAGGTCTGTGTGTTAAATACACCTAGCCCAACACTAAGGGGTCCTCAAATGTTGAACTGAATTAATCATGTGATAAGGAACATTCTTTAATTTCCTCTTTTTAGTGATGAATTCAAATTCACAAATAGTGATAACATTTCATTTGCCATAACTGTGTATTTCATTAATTGGACCTTCAAATATAAATAATTACACTGTTTTCATGATAGAATCACAAACTTCTATAAAAATAGTCTTTCCCAACAGACTATAAATTCATTATGGCTGAGGATCAAAGCTCAGCTATTTTTAAAAAATAAACTGCGTGGATAATACAACGTCTCCCATCATCATGTACTTGACCAGCACTGGCTGGCTGCTGCTGATTCCAATCTTTGGTTGAAACCTGATGCGCTTTCCGGCCACATCCTTAAAACAGGCTTGTGATTAACTTTCTATTATCTGGCAAACCACCAACAATCCTAACAGCGAACTGACAAAGGGATGGTCCTGACGATAATCAGTCTCTTCTGTGACTTGACATACGGATTGCATCTGAGTCTTCAATACGGTGACATTTCAACACCTGTCACCCTGGAAAGACAGTAAGTCTTCCCCCAAAACATCTCAGGACCTAATTCTCAATCCCCTTGATTCTAAAAATACTGAGTGAGTGATACAGATCTGCCAGTATGCCAAAGAAGGCTTGTGCCATCTGCTTCATTCTGTTCATGCTGATTATTTTGGGGATAAGAGAGGATCAGATTGGAATAAGAACATATATATATGGCAACAGCCAGGAAGGGCTGTGTTCCCTGAGGGCCGGTGGTATACGATGGTAGAGAAGTTGGAGCACAAGTGTAGTTCCAGGACGTCCCCAATGCTGCGTAACACAATCATCTAATGGGGGACAAGTGTCTTACAACATTCTCAAAATAAACTATGACTTCTGACTTCTATTTCCATTGTCCCCAGGGACACAATGCAAGGCCCATTTCTGAGAGGAAATTGAATTTCCATTTTTAGTCTTCCGACATGGGTACTTCAGTTCTTTTTTTGACTCCATTCATCACCACTCCTTGTGGGTAAGAAGGTTCTACTGCCAGCGTTTCCCTTTCTCTCATACTCCCAAACCCTGGGATGGTTTTCATATGAATGTGTTAAGGCCAATTTAAAAAGGGCTTCTAACGAGGTTCTCTTTCTTCTCTTACTCACACTAGAAAACAGCCAATCCTGGAGCGGGGTAGGTGGAAATTCATTGCTTATTTTGCTCTAGGAGGCTTCCAGAGAGGGTGCTTCCCTCAGTATCAGTGCTTTGAAGGACTTTGGTAGCAAGTCTCTATCATCAATGAAAAACTATACAGAAACATCAGCGGGAGAAAGAAGATGATACTCAGAACCTTCAGGTAGTTGTAACTGCTTATTTTTCATTATGCACGTGTGTTGTAAAATTTGTTCAGTGTTGTAAAATTTGTTCGGTGTTGTATCTGAGCAAGTACAATGTTAGGAGAGTTGGGGCTTGTTATACGTCTAAACAGCAAAATAGGTGCTCATGGGGCTGGACTCACTTGGTTGATGACAGATATGAGGCCTTGAGGAGCACCTTATCAGAGGGCTATGGCTGGGTTTGCAGCCTTAACTTAGAGCAGGGGCTCATAAGTGGGGCCTACGGCTGTCAGTTCTCTGAAATTCTGTGCAAAATTAGGAGGCATTGTGTACTGGAGTTCTTATGGGGAGCGGGGCCATAGCTTTCTTCGGATTTTCTCAGGTCCTAGATTCAACCATGTTAAAGGACACTGACTTAGATGAAAAAAGAGACAATCCCTCTTGGTGCCATTAATCTGGTTTGACTCTTCACAAAGTCACTGGTATTTCCTAAGCCATGGGCCATATATTTTGTGCCTCAATCACTGCATTTTATCAGGTTAAAGTAAAAAAAAAAAAAAAAAAAAGGTTCTATAATGATATTCTTCTGAAATTCAAGCAGTAAACAACTTGTACAAATTTCATTTCGAATATGGGTACAGACGATAATTTAATAGATCCTATCATGTAAGACAGGACTACCTTTCAACCAGAGGGCAGGTTGCCCTCAAAATCATAGGGGTTCCTTTGTCAGCATGTTTAAAAATCTTTAAGGGGTGTGTGTGTATATCTCTTCAATAAAGAAGTAGGATATTATTATTAAAATCCACTAACACCTGAGCTGACACATCACTTGGAAGAAGGCTCTTGCCTTGGACAAACTCTTGAGCTGGATCCACAAGGCTTATCACCTGCTACATCTGCAGACCCTTCTCCCATAGTGTCCCAAAGGCAACCAGGGCCACAGATCCATCATGTGCCACCTTCTCTCCTGCTTCTGTTTGCTCCACATTAGGTGCTTTCCTGGAATGTCCTGCACCTCTGGTCCACCTGGAATACTCCTACTTTGCCCTGTCACTCCCAGGCAGAGGAATGAGCTCCTTTGCTACAGGGTGAAATGGCGGGACTAGATACCACTGAGGAAGCGATTATAATAGTCCAGGTGAGACCCTGTGACTTGGGCTCAAGTGGTTGTGGCAGAGATAAAAGTAGCTCACTAAGAACCACGGCTAATTTAGGAAGAGGAAAATGTGTGGTGAGAACCTGCCTCCACAAACGGTTCTTCTGTGCTCCCTCCAGAACTATTCATTCAGCAGCCTAGGAGACCTCTCCACCTTACTACGTCTGAAACAATTTGCCCCCGTTTTGGAAGCCCCGACTGGCCGTGCCCTCTGTTCCACGCTGGGGAGCGCCCCCCAGCAGACCCCCCAGTCTGTGGAGCCAGCAGGTCTGCTGCCCACTGACTCCTTTCAGTTGTCACCTTGAGAGGCTGACTTTCGTTAACCCAGTGACTAAGCCCTTATTTTCTTATAAACAAGGCCTAAACTAAGCCAGAAAGCCAAAGTGAGTTATTTATCTAATATTCAGAAAGAAAATTAATGAGAAAGCCATCCAGTAGATGACACCACAGCTTTAGAACATCAGTTCTATGAACTAGACTTAGAGAATTTGAAAAAGGACAGGGTGCTGACTTCCTATCTACAAACCGTGTAAGTAATATCTGCTTAGAGATGGGGACGGAACCAGTCTCTCCTGAAGCTAACACAGTATTAATGAGATTTTTCAAAATCACAGCCTAAGGTAACAGGAAAGGAGAAAACTGTAGCAAAATTTTAGCAACTGGAAAGCAGGTAAACCAGCAGTAACTGGCTCAGCAGTCCTAAGAAAGCTGAATTCTAGGCCAGTAATGAAAAGCTATGAAGCTACCTGATTTAACCTGCAGAGCCCACCAAAAGTCTCAGAAATCTGGACACTGGGTACCTCTGGAAGGGGGTATAAAAAGAGAAGGAGAGGTTGAAAGTCTGTTAGTGACACAATCGGCCCTCTGACCCCCTCCTGGTAGAGGGCTGAGGGGTACTACGCTGAGACAGGCTGAATTATGGGGAAGTCTCTGTACTTCCCCTCTCGGGCTGTCAGAGCCCTGGCCACCACTCTCCAGGGCGGGACACTGGAGGAGTCTTCTCTGGGAAAAGTGACCAGCTCACGAGAAGAGAGTCATGACCAAGACAAACAGCAGTGCCACAGTTTACCCGCAGTGGCCTACGACGAAGCCCTCACTGACAAGCCCTAAGTATCCAGAGCTTCCTCAGCTTTTGTATGGCTTCCTCGTAAATCAGGAGGGAGCCGAGGATCAGCAGAAACCAGGAGAAAGCATCCAACAGGAAAAACTGACAGAGGACAGAGAGAAAAAAGCAGCTAGGAGAAAGATGGAAAAAAAAGACTCTATGGAGAGAAGACGACATCAAAAACAACTCTCACTCATGTCCCAGAGAAAGAGAGAAATCCCTAAAAGAAAAACAGGATTTTTTTCTTTTTTTAAAGAAAATGACAATAAAAAAGGCAGTGCAAGACTCCAGGGCAGGGGCAGGGGCCGGCACTGCAGTCACACGCGCTGGGGCAGCATGTGAGACTCTGCAGGTGTAATGAACTCCCTGACGACTCTCACGCGCCTTTGTGTTTGCCAGTGTGGCTTCTGCTGAGGGTGCCGGCTCTTTTTACGTGTTTGCTAGTCCTAATGCTCACTAGTGATTAACACCATGAAACGACCTTTTAGAACCCAGCTAATCTCACCTAGAGACTAATCAACAGTAAAATCACTCATAGGTTAAATGGGTAAAATATGCATCGTCAGACTAAAAAACAGGAAAGAGGAGATAATTTTTAAGTTAACGAAACAGTTTCCTATCTTCATCACATGATAAAGCTACCTATTATCACCCCTTCTTGCTAAACATTTGTACTAGAAGTTGTGGACCATACAATAAAGCAATAAAAAGAAATGAAAGATGTAAAAGCAGAATGGAATAAATCTTTCATCACTTACAGATGACTGTCTACATAGAATCCACATATAGCGTATCAGAATGAGAAAGCTTGGCAAGGCATTCAGTTATAAAAATCAAAATACAAAATTAACTACATTTCTACATGCTGGCAAATAGAAATATAATTTCCTTTTTCTTTTGTCATGCACTTAAGACCTCTGACATTTTCTGTTATAGTTCTTAACACCCCCACCCACCCACCCAGACAAACAAACACACTGGAATGAAATTCAATTTTCAAACCAACCAGATGGGCAAAAATTAGAAAGTCAGGCAAAACCAAGTAATACCCAGTGACAAGGAAAGAGTGACACACAAGCCTAGAGTCATGGACAGGACATGTGCATTCAAAGATGCTCTTCCTCAGGAATTAACACATAGGATACAATGAAATCGCTCTATGAAGATTTATGCATGAAAAAACAGAAACGCGGACATAACTATTAAAACTCAAGGTGGATAAGGAGTATGGTTGTATGAGGAGTGATCATTTCTTGCTTGGGAGATCAAGAGAGGTCTCACGGAGAAGTCAAAGTTGGCGCCCGGCCTGCAAGTTTACCCCGGGTCCAAGGGGAAGTGGTCTATTTCAGGCCAAAGGAATAAATCAACATACACACCTGAAAAGAAATAGGACTGGAATGTGATGCAAATAGGGGGCAATGTGGACAAACAGGCTAAAGAGAGAAGCAAAGATTAAATCATGAAGGGTCAGGATGGATTGCTTCCTTCCACGAGGGGAAGGTGGGCTTTTCTGTTGTAATATTTTAGCAGGACGACTAACCTATTTAGTGAAGGCTAGGCACTAACTCTGAGTTTTTGTGGAGGTGGGAAGTGGGAGGTGGAAGTAGGCAGAGAGTACCAAGAAAACACTTGTCTCAACAGGAATGGGATGAAGCAATGGGAAGGGCATAAGCACAGCAATCTAAGCCTCAGAGAGCACCGAAGACCAAGTGGAGCCAAAGTCCAAGGGGCAAGGACGACCCAGGACTGATGACCAGGGAGACAGGCGTCAGGAATCCACTATGAGCAACGGACTTGTCGTCAGAGTACACGCTTCAAGAATAATTCTGGTAGGGATGTGTACAATGTACTGCAGCATGCTGGGACCATTTTGGCTTCTGCCATATCTCAGAAGACATAACAGTGGCACAGAGAGGAAGTGAGGGCAGGGTGAAAAGACACCTAGTAAACAGACTCATTAGATTAGGACTTTAGGTTAGGTCAGAGGAAAGAGGTGATGGTGGTGGCGGAGAGGGAAAGGAAGGATGAGCCCCAGGAGAAAAATCCAGCAAAACACAGGAGTTAGGAGTTCAGTTGTAGACGTGTTGGGTTTAATGGTGCCTAATGGGCATTCAGGCCAGCAAGGAGCCCTACAGCAACGAGGAGGAGCTGAGCTACTCTTCTAGAATGAAATAGAACGAACGGCACCCTTTGGCTTCGGGGAAGTGGATCCCATTCTGAATCTGGCTTCTGTAAGTGACTTTATAAATTACATGGGTGGCCTCAGATCCCGTCAGTAAGCTCAAATGATCGTCAACCTTGATCAACAGAGTTTGTTCTCCCCAGAGTGGTTTGGTAAAGTGGGTTGTCCTGGGGGTGAGGAGGAATTTGTTTTCTTTCCGGCAGGCTGCAGCTAGACTGACCCTCCCCTAGGATATCCACTCTGCACCTGGAACAGGGCGGAAGCAGGCTTGTGGGGACAGGTAACCCTCAGAGGCGCCAATCACAGAAGGAGCCTTCCGCCTCTAAACTCTGCCCGTTCCTCTTGGGTAAAATAGGGTCGTGACAAGGCTACGGCAATAAAAATAAGCAAAATGAGAATTAAGACTGCATTAAAAAAAACCTGATAAGATGTTCCAGAACAATTTCTGGATGGCAATAGTATAAAACAAGACTCTAAAAGCTCAAAACCCCTGTGTCGTTGCCCACTCTACTAGAAGAAGGTAGGCTTTTCAGAGTGGGAGCCTTTCTTCGTCATAATACAGTTAGCAGACTGAGGATAATATCTAACCTATTTAATAGTCAAGGCTAGCCACTGGGGGCTACCTGGAGGTGGGGTGAGGAAGGCAGGAGGAGAAGAGAGAGAAGGGGGTAGAGAACACCAAAAGAACTCTGTCTCAGCTGGATCGGGAGGAGCCCAGGAACGTGAGCCTCAGAGCCGCAGAAGCCTAAGAGAAGCCCCACCACCAAGGGGACAGGCCCCGGGCGCCACGGCGGCGGTGCCTCAACGGAAGCAGGTCTGCGAGCACCCACGCCCCTCTCCCGGACAGAGCGGCAGCGGGGGTCGCACGGCGGAGCCGCCTCGGAGCGGCCAAAGCGCTTCGACGGCTGCCGTTCCGCGTAATACCGTCGGAAAGCAGGGAAGGAAACACCTTTGCAGGTTCGTAAATCTTCCCTCCTTCTCCTCTCCCCACCACACACTGTGTATTCTTAAACATAACATTTAGGAAGAAACATCAAATGTGCACAAGCAAGCAAAACGGGCATGGGCATCCCAGGGGCGAGCGTGAGGTCCAGGGCTGGTTCTCAGGCCGAGACGGCCCGGACCTGGTTTTCAGAGGACTATTCATGAACGCGAGGTAGCGCGGGCGGGGGAGAGCCGTTCTGAAACCCAGACAAGAGCCTCTGCTATTAGGAGAAGATTTTCTAGTCATTAAAGTCAGTGATGGGGACTACTCCTTTGTGACAGCCGAAAATATATCCCCCTCCTCCCTCCCGGCAAATCCTCGGCGACTCGCCTTTGGGCCTCTTCAGGGTCGGCTTCTATAGCTGACAGCGGTGATCTCCTCCCGGGACTCGGAGAGGAGGGCGCGGAGGAACCAAAACTTACCTAATTAGCGGCCCGGCCTATTGTCCTAATGCGGTTGCCATTCGAGGGAAAAGAAAAGCCTGGCTCCTTCCCAGGAAGTGTGTGAGGGTAAAGGCCCACACTGAGAAAAGAAATAAGGAAAGCAGACTAGTCACACTGATGATGGAAGCCAGATTCCTGAGTTAAAATCTCCCCAAGGAAACTTAAAAGCGATATGAGATCTAGAAAGGATGCTCAAGACTTAGGTGGACTGTTTGATCCTAAAACGATCTCTAAATAAATAGAAAAAGGCCTGTTGGTACAGATGACAATACATGAGCAGTGTCTCTCTGGTTGGCGGAATTAGAGATGACTTCGTTTTTCCTTTGTATCTGGACTTTCTAAATTTCGGTAATGACTACTTAGGCTGAGTCTAGGAGTATACCAGGCGGACAAAACGGAGGAAGGAGGTGTATTTCAGGCGGAGGAAGGACATGGGAAAGCGCAGAGGCAGGAGGCAGCACGGGGCGCGGGGGCGGGAGGGTGTGAGCACGAGGGCGCAGCGGCCCCAACACAAGTGACCGCGAGAGGAACCCGGGGTTACCCTGTGGGAACTGGGAGCCAGTGAAAGTGAGGCCGTTTCATCCACAGATCGCTTTACACAGGAAAAAACTCACCAGTCATCAGTTGCCCCTCCCCCACGGTTAACTTCGTTAGCCTGAGGGAACAGATTTAAAAGCACTGTTCTGAAAGTAAGTGGTTCTTTTTACACAAGATGAGCCTGAGACCAAATCTGATTACCCAAATGGACACGAATGTAATTGGCAGTTTTAAATAACAGCTTACACTTTTTACCCCAAGCTTTTTCAACGGATGAGCATCCAGAACGCACTCCACTCTAAACTGTGTACAGAGTTAAGAGAGATGCGTGAAATTGCCTGCCATGGTCCGACGCTGCTCCCCTCCTCCAGGAGCACGCGGCCCACCTCTAAGTCACACGCTTTACTGATCAGACAAAACTACTGCACAGCGCTCACGGGAGAATTTTCCCTCTGCCCTTCCATGACACGTCCAATAAATTCACATGATGCAAAGCAAATGGTTCATCCAGAAACCCTTAATTTTTATCACTGGCCCTTTAAGATGACCCTAGTTTTTAACGTTTTTCTTTTTAAGATGATAAACATTTCCTCAGGTTTCCATTTTAAAAGAAAATGGTCCTGGAAAGACAAGGTAACTTCTCCAAGTTCCTGCACCGGCTTCTCTGAAAGGGAGAAAGGAATGTCAAGGAAATGGGGGAGAATGCTTAGAGAGAGGACTGCTAGCAAGCTGGGCCCCTCTCCTTTTCACCTTAAGTCTTTTCTCTCCCCCATTCACAGCTTTCGGTCCTTTGTTGGTTTAACAAACCATTACAATCATACCCGGTTCAACGGGAGGAATGTGAACTCTCTAAGTAGCTGTCCTCGCAATCCACATGTGTGGTCCATCCACAGTCCATCCGCGGCAGCTTCAATGTGCTGCTCTGCGCTCCTGTCGCCCTGGAGGCCAGGCACCTTGCTCACAATAAGCCCCAATTTCCCGCCGCTGCGCGCTTGCTGCTCCTTCCCAGTAGCCTATAGCGATGTCTCAAGTTGTTCTTCCTCCCTGCTTGCCGGGCGGCTGTCCTGTCCATCCTGCCCGGGCTTGTCCTGCTCAGCTCCAGAGACAGACACTGCCTAGTGTGTCAGCTGCCCCCCAACCTGTCTTCAGCCCCCAGACTCACCACCGAATCCAGGGCAGACACATGCCAGGCCCTTTCTGGTGATCACTCCCAGTCTTCCAATGTCAACCATGCGGTAAACAGAAGCTATGAGGGCGAGATCCCCTCCCCACCTCATTAGAACCGCTAGTGCCTTTCTCACTTTCTAGTAGCCATGCTGGCCATGTTGGGATGCATTTCAATTTCTCAGCCAATAAATAAAAATATTGTTTAGTGAGATTATCGTATTTCAAAGGGAACTAAAATAATATTTAGTAAAACAATATGATTTCAGTTGAACTCACAAAGCTCTCTCATGCTATTTCACTGAATCATTTCCATCTAACAGACCTGTGAGTTAGGTAGAAAGGCGTCTTCATCCCTACCTAACAGACGAGGAAACTGAGGTGCAGAGACTTAAGTTCTCAGCCCAGAGGAACGAAGATACTGCAAGTAACGTACTACACGAAGCCAAGTACCTGGCGCACTGTGAGTACCCCAAAAGTGGTAGATTCTATTAATATCATTATCGATGATGATGATGGGGACCAAGGGCCAAACCCAGGTGTTCTGAGTGAAGCCAAGTGCCCATTCCTCTTAGGCCTTGCCATCCTCCTAGCTAAGCCATCTGCATGAGCAGCGGACATCAGCAATAGCTTTTACTACAGTATTTCCCAAGAAAGCCTCAGAACCTGCAGCTGGATTCCCTAGTGCAACTGGTATGTGACCAGCATCCTCCTCAGGCTTATCAGTCAACATCTGCCACAAAGGGGAGGGCAGCCTTTTACACGTCCCCTGTGTACACAAGGTAGGAGTGTCGCCAGGGCAGCTTTCAAGCCTTTGAGCTGACAGGGTTGTCAGCAGAAAATTCCACAGATCTGCAGGTATTACGGGGGCTGTGGAGGGAAGACAGCAGAGGATATGAAAAGTTACTCACAGCATCGTCTGATTCCCTGCTTGCAGAGATATTCATGCTTTTAAAAAAGAAAAGGTTAAAAGAACTCTGTTCTAAGGTACTCTGCAGTTTCAGGGGGAAAAGTATTTATTCTCTCCTAGAACCTTTTTGAAGTGCCTTGAGCCTTCTTGGCGAATTGTACTACATGTCTCCAAGCAATTCTTAATAAACACACCCAGACAGAATGCCTTTGAAAAGCTCCCATGGCCGGCGTACCTACTGGGTGACAGGAAGCGTCAGCTCGGAGGCGGTCATGGAGTCCACTCTGAAGTTCCTCTGAGGATGCGAACCTGTAAGGAGAGATCTTGCACATCTTCAGTGAATGGAGCTAGAGAAAGGTGTCCCCTGTGACGGTGTGAGGGGGGCTTCCCTTCAAGGGCACACGCACGACCGGTAACGCGTGGAGACTGTCTACCACTGTTGCATGCATTTTAATAGGTGACTTTACAGATAACATTAAACTTCAAAATCGTGTAGTATAATATCTCAATAGACCCACCACCCTTAATTTTAAGGTATCTCAGATATACCATATGGCAAAAGTCTTAAACATTTAGATCATCCGATATATTTAAAGGTGTGATAAAGTTCCTACTGTTGTAACTTAAAAGATTGTCAATATCTCCAAGGAGATCTTTAAGTATTCATATTATATCCTTTGTCCTACTTGCAACTGGATTAGAAAAACCCTGAAGTTTTCCCCTGCTTTCTGCAAGTAGAAAAAAAAAACATGAAATTGCTTACATAAAATATTCAAAATAGCACTCAGAGGAAATGGTATTTTTTTTTAAACCAACAGTATTAGAATACCATAAAACACGTATGCAAATCTAGGTACTAACAGACCCAGAAACAAATTATAAACTGAAAAAAGTCAGCAGTAACCAGTGGACATTCATCAACAAATGCTTCCTATAAACGTAGAGATTTATCAGATTTGCAGGGTGAAAAGGCTGAAGTCTCTAAATTGAATACATAATTCAGTGGTTACCAAACCTGGCTATGCATTAGAATTACTAGGGAGACCTTTTAACAATACAGATTCCCAGGCCACAGCACACATTAGTGCCACTGAAGCAGCATCCCCGGGGCCCTGGGAACCGTTTTCACCAGGTCTCCAGGAGGCCAGTCTGCAGCTGGCCTTGCCACACTGATCCCTGGCGAGCATTCGAAACCAGTATCTCTGCTCACCAGTTAATTATAAAACTTGGCTTCTTCCAACTAAGACTATTCCAGTCACTCGATCCTCTTAGGGGGAAAGCTTTTCAGGATTTTCTTAACCGGCACAAAGGTAAATCTGTTGCGAAACAAAGCCAATTAGGTCTCACCTAAGCAATTTACTGAGCTGGTGGCCTGTCTGTTTTCCCTTCTCTTAATTTGATCAAAAAGGCCACATCCGTTTATTTTGTATGAGAACATACTTTTAAGTTAAAAATGGAAAAATTAAGCCATTGTTAGACAACTAAAGTTTAAAAATAACCCATCACAGTTCAGGAAAACCTTTGGAGGTGAGTAGGCTCCTTGTCTGAATCATCCAGGGAATTTGCTTTAAACATATTCCTCACTTTGCATGTATAAACACTTCACAAATCATCTTCATGGTCCATCTCTCTTCTCAAAATACTCAGCATTTATTGTGGAGGTTTAATTGGGTGGTCTCCAAAAGCCTGTATTAATTTTTTTTTAAAGGGCTTTAAAACATTAAAGCAAGAGAGTAGAATTCTTCTGGATGATTCTTTTTTGCTCCTACCCATCTCACCAATGGACAAGACCAATTTATGAATTCAGAGAGGTGGGGGCTCTCCTCTGCTTCCTGGGAAGGGTGCCCATGACACCAAGTACGCAAACCACGCAGTGGAGTAGCTCAGCTTCATTGTCAAAATATTCAAATTATCACTAAAAGAAAGCGATTCCTTTCTGAATTCAACAATACTCCTTGGCCTCCGAGGGCTCACATAGGAGCTTATTCTTAAGCTGTTCAATGTCTGCAGCACTAGTGAAAGAGGAGAAGTCTGGCGGGAGGAGATGGAGCCCTTCCCGCTCCCACCTGCCATCTCAGCCCGGCCGAGGGCTTCAGCAGTCAGCAATGCGCGGAGAACCTGAAAGCGCCAGGACCCCGGGAGAGCCATGAGGGCCGACAGCGGGAATAAAGAGGAGAAGAGACAGGCAGGAAAAACAGCACATCTAAGCTCGACAGGATGCTACTTGCAGACCGCTTCTCAGGTCAGAATTTAGGTCTCAAAATCAGAGATAAAGGTTTTAATATGTCAATTATATGAAAAAAAGGTACATGGTAACAAATGACCCTGTAACATTAAACATTCTAAATACAGACGTTTCTGAGTTCCAGAGTAGCAAGAAAAACTGCGTTGTTCTAGGAACGGGCACAGGCACACAGTAAACACATGATAGTTAATTGTTTTAAATAAGGAGAAATATTTTGGGGGGAATGATTTATGCATTCATTGATGACAAAAACTAAAGTTTCAACAATCTAGAGCTAGGATTTCTAGAACGCATTTTCACTGTCACAATGTTTCTCTAGGCATGTGCTGCTGAGAACAGCATTTAAGAACATGTCTTTTTCTGTTAATGAACTGGGTTAGCCGCCTGCTGGGCATTCACTGCAACCTGGACTGAACAAAGGAATTTCCCTCCAGTTTCAGCTCGCTCACTTCTAGCTACTCCTGATTTTGCTTAAGAAAATTCTTTAGACTGACTTTTTATTTCCAATGATTTGAGCAGGAAGGATGGGCAAGTTCCGAACACTGTCAATTCTGCTTCAGTTTTCAGCAAAAGACTCCTCTAGATTGAAGGCGTGCAAGGTTTGCTTTTGAAGAGCCTTCCAAAAGAGTTATTTTATTTTCTAGAGACTGTAATTCCAGACGGAAAGGAGCCCACCCGATTTAGCTGACTGTGGACGATTCACTCTCATTGCAGTGAGGTGGGTCACAGAGGACCATGAGATGACACCTCTGACGTGGAGACCCTAAAGGGGATATTCGTATTCATCTCCAAACAATGGAGTCATTCTAAAGATGACACAGAGGGACGCGCTGCAGCAGGGTCACTCACAGTTGGAACAGATGTGCGGGCCTGGCCCCTGGCCCTGTAACTTCTTGCCCATCCCTGGAGCACCCCTCCCAGCCCAGGGTTGTGACTACTCCTTGAGGCCATAGGACTCCCACATCTTCCATCTTCAATCCTGAATTTTGTTTCGGATTCTAGAGGAATCCAGCTACCAGGCGCCTGCCCCTCTCAGCGCGCCTGGAGGTCACCTCTTCTGAAGCAGGGGCTCCACAGAGCTAACCCTCCAGACTCGCTCCTCCCGCATTACCGATTTAGCTAATGGTATCTCTTTGTAATAACAGCGGACATTTACTGGATGCTCACCAGGTCATGGCCACTGTTTTCACCACTTTACTTAACGCCCCAAACAACCATATGAGTGGGAAGTAGTAACCCCATTTTACTTATGGGGAAACTGAGGCTTAGAAGTGATATTAATGTGCCCATGGTCACACAACCAGTGAGCAGCCGAGGTGAGATTTGCATCCAGAGTGTGGGACTGCGAGTCCGCGTTACGAACAGGTCCCTCTCTTCCCTGCGGCACGTCCCAGCCTCTCCAAAGTCAGAAGCTCTGTCGTCACAAGAGATTCTCTCACCGACTAAGCTGTATGGATTACTGTCTCTCAAATCTGTCTCCTTCTCTTAATTTCCATAGTGACCAGTGTTTGGGTGATGTTTTGCCTTCGTTACGGCCTCCGAATCAACCCAGCAGGACAACTCTGGAATTTTACTGTTTGCCCTCCCAACAGTGTTCCTTTCTAGCTCGTTTAAAACAGGTGGCAGACTTTGTAATTCCTTGTATTTTAGCCCAGATGACGGCAGACACAGTCTGTCTCTGTTAACATCTAAACCCAACAAGGAGACTCTGCCCAACTTCTGGGACAGGAGGAGGAGAGGACAGATCGGAGGGTGAGAAACAGACACTCTCCCCTCCGTCCCCAGCCCCCACGCCTGGAAGGAGGAGGTGTGTCGGGCCCCAGCAAGGGGCCTTTGCACAGCTCTGCTCCCCAAGGCAGCGGGCAGAAGCCTTGAGAGCGCAGCTGTGCCGGGTGCGCTTGGGAAGGCCACACTGAGGCAAGAGGATTGCAGCCTCCCTCGTGGCCGTGAGGCAGAGAGTTATCACTGTTGCGATACAGCGAAGGCCAGAGGCCAGTCCCTCACCTCCCAGGTGCCACGGAAATCTCCAGGTTCTAGGACAGACCCCATGGGGGATGGGGTGACACCTAAAAATGGCTGGGATGAAGTTTCCCTCCAGGCTGGCAGGTGGGGGCTGCAGTCTGAGTTAAGATAGCTCTGGGTATGAAAGGGAATACTTCCTCAAACGTGAGTCGTAGGGCGAGACGGAATGTTGTGGGGCGCCTCGAGAAGGTGCTAACAACCTCAGACTAGTGTACATCTGTGCCATAGGGCTCACTTCAGCTACTAGCATTGGAGCCACATTGTTTTTGAAGAAAAGGCCATCTGCCTTGCTGCAGAGGAGGTGGGCTCTGCAGAGGCGCTGGTGACCTGGGGGCGGCTGCACTGTAGAATCCGGGGCAGAGAGAGAAGGAAGGAAGGAAACAGGCGAAGACGTTAAGCATTTACTCACAAGATGAACTCCTCTGATTCCTATGCAAATACCTAGAAAGGGAGAGGCAGAGAAAGTTATCTTTAAGGCCTTTATCTTAAACTTGGAGTTGCTTAAAAATCAAAGGGAAAAACGGAGGTTTACTAGGAAGAAGAGAGAGGCCAGTGCTGCTGGTGTCCAGGCAGAGGACACCCCTGCCTCCCAGGCCTGGACGTGCCTCCCAGAGTAGCGTGCCAAGAGGGGCTGGGGCTGCCGCGCTCCCCAAGGTGGAAATGACAGTGCGCTGGACAGAGAGGGGGTTTGGACAGGGGAGAGTCACCCTAGGAGAAAGGATAGACATCCTTAACGGGACAAATTTGTTGATTCAGAGAGGTTGCAGTGATGGTAGATAAGTGTGGTACCAAAGGAACTCTAAGGAGTTCAGATTTTGAGGTCAGTCAGGTCCTCAAAGCAAATTCCATTTCAGTTGTAGGGCTGAGTATCTAAGACTTTCAGATAAGGCTCACAGGGCCCAGCTGAAAACTGGAGAGGATTCTAGATAAGCCCAGATAAGTCAGCCATTATGTGGAGATTAGAACTTTGAGAACAGAGAGTTCTGGCTGGAAGAACTTCAGGTGTTCGAGAATCAGCAGCCACGGGACCTCATTTTCCTGCTGCACAGGCACCCACTACGTCTGCCCAGCACGTGAGGCACAGCCAGAGGGAAGATGGACCTAGCAGAGGAGGTGCCGGGGCAGCAAGTGTCCTGTCACAGAGGTGGAGTGTGCCAAGACGGCCCCCTCTGTCTGCTTTGGTTATTAGTAAGACGAGTATTTCGTGTTCAGTGCACCCAACAAGGGGGCTCACAGACAGGGAACATGGGAACTAGGGTGTGTTAACCAAGCAGGCAGAGGCTTGAAAAGCCACAACAGTCAGAGCGCGGGGCTACCCTGGACTCACAAGAGTCTGGACACTCACTTCGCCCTTCTCACACCAGACAGCTGAGGCCCAGAAGGGAAGAGAGGAGTGGGCAATTAATGAACACTCACATGGCCCGTCCCCAACCCCCACCTCACATGAACAACCATGCGCAGGAGACTGCTTTCCAATCTATGGGGCCCAAAAACTTTGTCGGGGTGCGGGAGGGTGGGGAGGTATGCTGGGGAATGGGCGACCAGCCCACTCTATTGATTGAAACTCAATTTTCATGTTGTTTCCTTGAAACTTTCTACTAGCCTGGTGAGTAAAGAGCTTGCAGTCAAGTTACGTCAGTGTGAAGGGACATTTCTACATCCCGGAGACTGAATTCATACTGGCTCCTCAGCCTCTGTTTTGGACCGGCCCCCCTTCACTCTAGTCATGATTCTTCTAACATGCAAACGTGCGCCTGCTTGGAATTCTCCAGTGGGCCCGCTGGTTTCTGTCAACTGCAACCAAGAGCCCTGACTACACGGATCCACAGAAAGCTGTTAATCAGGAGAGCACTATGCGCAGGCTGTCCTACTGAGACTGCAGACAGCAGGTGCCCAGATTATGCTCCTGGGTCTACCCATTCTCCACATTAAAATCGGTAAAATAGTAATTCCCTGGGGGAAAAAAATCCACAAAAAGCAAACAAAACTGTACACAAAAAGAATAAAGGCAATAGCTGAACACTGAAGTTTCTCTATAAAACTGCTCCCCGGGAGCTCTAAGTCTCCCCTGAACCAGAGCTGATGACACTCGTGCACACTTTGAGCTGAACACACGGGACAAATGACCGTTTTAGGGAAACGACATAAAATGACGATCATCTTAATGTGGTTCTAATTTACATGTTGATTGTGTGTGTGTCTGTTTTATGAATCACTTTTAATTCCTGTGCTCAAACAAAAGGAAAAAAATTACCTTGGTAGATGCCACATAATGGATCAATTAAGTTACTCCCCAAATAAAGTACATTTTGTTATAGTATAAACATGTGTAACTCCTAGCGCTATTTTAAACACTGATAGAGAAAAGTGACTTACTAGTTTCAACAATAATATTTACCACTCTCCTATATTATAACCTCCAACTCCCTTCATCCCCTAACTGCCTTCATTTTAATTCTTTGTTTGTTCAGGGAGTCAGGAAGTAAAGACATTTTAATGCTCTTTCTCAGTTAGTAACTCTGTTTTACTCTCCCTTACTCTACTACGTGAGAAGCACACTCCACTTAACACTAGGTTGTGTTCCCACGGTTAGTTAAAAAACGTTAAGCAAATGCTCACATTCTGCTAGATACAATCTAGAAAGAGCATGGTATAGTGGAAAGAGGACTGCCTTTGGAGTCAGATGGCTCTGGGTTTGCATACTGGCTCTGCTACCTGCCAGGTATGTAACCTTAGGCATGTTCCCTAACTTCTCTTTATGGAGACAGCTATCTGCTTTGCAGAGCTGTCATAAGATTATACAGTACATACGTACAGACAGAGGCATGACGACTGGTGCAGAGTCTAAAGTGTACGTACTAAGGAGATGTGGTCTGTTAATAAGTATCAAGAGCGATTCCACACACTGGGTAAGTTCACTATTAGGAAACATTAGTAACCTGTTTCAGAATACAATATATGTAACAAAGTCAGAGTGTAAATTATTGATACACTTCAATAATCTTTCTTTAATTTGGACCATTGTGACACAATTCCATTTCCTAATATGCGCTTATAAGAGAAATTTCTACTATTTCCTTCATGCTTCAAAGTTTTTTATGTCATGTATTTCAAAGATTCCTGAATTCTTAAGCAGTGTAATATTATTTGCTGTGCATTTAATGGCAATACCATGTTTAACTAGAGAAAACAATTACAAATGGGCCCGGCATGAATTGGTCTTACAGGTATTATAAAGTTACCCAAGCGATATTCAGAAGTGATTCTGGCATTTGGGGGACTTTGCTAGAATTTTCCTTTTGAATGTGTTGGTGAGACTCGTGTGGAGAAGAGCCTCTGTGGAGGGCATGCATGTCTAACATTCTCTTCACTTTGGCCTTGCACCTGGGACAGCTGCAGATTGTCTTCCTAGAAGGCAGCCCTGAGAGCAAAATAAATTGGATGTGGTTTATCTAGTGAGAGGTTTAGGGGGAAAAAAAATTCAAATGTAAGATAAAACAGAAGAAAAAGAAGACTAGAGTAAAAAAAAAAAAAACCATGTCATATTACAGTCAAGGACATTTTGCAAAAAACTGCGTGGAGAGAAGCCAAGAGTTATGGTTAAGCACAGCGAGCACTGGGGCTGCAGAAGCGGGAGTGCCGCTCTCGGGGGACGACGACACGGGCTGGAACAGATAACTAACACGTGTTACGGGGAAAAACAACCCAACTGTCAGATATGAAATTTAAGGCTGGAATTAGGGGTTATTATTTTGAAATAGGTCGTTAAAACAAATCATAATCTCCACATGTATGGTGGAGAATGATAAGAAAGAAAAACTTCTGATAAATACGAGGATCCTGCCAACCACGAGTTCCCCCAAATAAACACTGGATTTAGGGGCACACTTATTTCGTAACTTTAGGAAATTCAGACAGAATATATGTAAAATGAGAGCTACCTCATATTATGGTTTTAGGAGCAAGATTTACAGACTTTGAATTGTAATATATGTCACACACTAAATATGATTCTAAATGCAGGATAACACTCCAAATTTTCCCCTAGTATTTGTTTTTAAGATAAAACCATTTTAAAATCTTTTTAAAATATGAGAGAGATCACAAAGTTTCTAGTAAGCAAGTCATGATAAATAAAAATCAATTACGTCATACCCGTTATTTCTAAATTAATATGAATACATGTCCATGACGGTTTTTAGCATGATTATTCTAAAGAGTGAAAAACAGGCTTTTGTGTTCCTCAACTGTTTGTCCCTCAAGGCCTGATGTTCCTCAAATGCAAATTCTCTGAGAGCCAGTGTTTTCTGGAACATAATCCCCTCCACTGTGAAGAGGCAGGGCTGTGGCGGCTCCAACGTAGGTGGCGATGAGAACACACACTCACGACCGACCACGGGGGAGCTGCCCGGGCAGGAGTCAGCGGGTTTAGCAGAGGCACACTTACCTTTCTACGTTTGAGGTACAGAGGAGTTTCAGATGTGACATGACACAGAGGCCACATCAGACGTGAGAGCAATCCTAGGGGGAGGAAAACATCAAAAGGTTATAAAAAAACGGCACTGAGGAAAACCACGTTGGTCCTGCGTAAGCAGACATTTATATACAGAATATGATTCTAGGAATGCCAGGATGAAAAATTTCTCTCCGTCAGCCTGCCATCGCGCCATATCCCAACATTCCAGAGGCACGCCTTTAAGGTCTTAAAGGATTTTTCGGGTTAGGGAGGCAACACAGTGATGTGGTCAAGAGCGTGGGCCGAGGGGCCAGACCGCCGGGATGTGCATCCAGGTGCCACCTGGAGCCACTTAGAAACCTCACGCGATCGGTTTAACCTCTCTCTGCCTTGGCTTCCCCACCTGTGAAATGGAGACAGTAACTGTAATGACGGCACACTAGCCTTTTGAGGATGAAATGAGTTAATGTGAGTGAAGTTCTTAACACTGTGGCTGGTAGGCAAGGAGCGGTCATGTATCGGCGGTTACTTTCTGGAGACCCCGATGCAAGTCAAAATACCTCCCGGCCTCAGGCATAAATTAGATGATGATCAGAACCTTTTAAAAGCGTCAACTAAGAACACGATCCTTTGGGAAAAGGACACAAGAACCTGAGCATGGCTGAGAGTGAGTGGGGAGGAGGGGAGGAGGACACTCAAGAGCAAGGAAAGGCCATTAAAAGGCCAAAAGCAAACAAACAGGAAAATAAAAACCAAAAAGAGAAAAAAAAATCCCTTTGCTTAACTCCAACTTCTTTTCAACGACAAGCCTCCCACCAAGAGGAGAGGCCTGGACAGCAGGACTCAGTGACAGCATTCCCAACGGAGGTCACTTTAAATCTATGTCAGAATAGTCTCTCTTGTAACTCAGTCTAACAGCAAGGAGGTCTCCCTCTCAGTGACTAGATACGTCTGTACTCGGGCTGCTTTATTTGGTCCGTCTGGACGGACGGGAAGCCGTTTGAGAGGGAGGTATCTGGTATCTTTCCACTAGGAAGTGTGCTTATGGAGATAAACACACACAAATACAGAGACCTAATATATGTCGATCCCCAAACCTATTTTGAGGGTTTGACTCTTAAATTACTTGAAATTATTCTTGGATATTACAGCAGTCTTCGGTCCTGGGAAAAAGGCTCTATTATAGAGGATCATGTCGTTGAGGTTATCTGATTTTACAAAAATAGCAAGAACACAAATTTGAACTGCCGTCACTTCCTTGACTTGTATATAGTTCTTTCTGTCAATGTAGACAGAGATACGCCTCAGCGCAAAAGGCTGAAAATCAATGGGAAAGTGTGGATTCCTACTTCTCCTTCCACCCCCGACCCCTCCCTACTTTGGCATGATGTCACATGAAATTACTTCCAGAAACGGGGAGGACTGAGCAGCCAAGTTATAAAACCTAAGTGTTAAGCTTTCTTATCTACAAGTTAATACTTATGGGGGTGAGTCTATCAGTGATCAAGGCCGTGGTAGCTTTCCTGTTTCGTAAGAAATCTAAAATCTCAGCAGAATCACAACTTGCTGAGTCTACCACATTCGTACCACCCGTGCAAAGGCCCGTTCCTTTACAAGATGGCTACCGCCACTCACCAATTTGTAAACCTGTATTTTAAGCTTCATCCCTACCTTTAGTTGAAACGGATTTCTTCAAAAATAATCTTGCTGGTAAAAATAAAACTCAAATAACACACAGAGTAAAATATGAGCCCATTCCTGTACTTGTGTGCTGCTTACCTTTTTTCTCCCACATTTTCTAAAATTTCCCATTATGACTTTAAGATGTTATTTTCCCAAAGAATGTTTGCAACTATTTCCCACTTAAAGCTCTGGTTAAAAAGAAATAGGTCTTAACTGGAAAACTGCTCAGAAATCGAGTAGGGTCCTGTGAACACAGTAGTTAGCCCTTTAGAATCAAAATTTCTCTTCTACTCTTCACTGAGAAGTGAAGGTGTGCGTTTGCTTCCTTTCATAAAGGGGTTCATAACATCCAGGGGTGGTAAATCTGGTTAAAGAAACTGTCAAAGGATGTTTTGTTTTGCATGATTTAACATTGCATCATAGAATTAAATCATATAAAATGTAAGCTTTATCCATCTCAATCACTAAATCGGGTCAAATGAAAGTCTACAAAACTCCAAATGAAAAGATTTTTCATCTTCTTACTGAAAATATCTAAACACTGGGTTGAGATTTATTTTTAGGAAAGAATATTAGAGAAGAGAGCTTGGCTTTGAAAAGGACAATGCCAGACACTTTTTATGCCTCCTGTTCTGAGGCTGAGGAACTGCCCAACGAACCAGCCAAATCAAAAAAGTGTTTAATAATTCTCCATAAAGGAAAGAGTTTAAAAAGCTAAAGCACCAATCAGATAACAAAAGATCAATCAGGTTTTCCTAAAACGTAGTATTTGCACTTGAAGCCTGGGTAATTACATTCACAGTAATGTACAGGGCGCTATCAACCCCCATTCACCCAGCACGCATGCAGTGAGCCAAGAGCTTTGCTGGGCTGGAGATATAAAAATGAATACGACACAGCCGCTTTACTTCCAGCTAAAAGAATACACCTAAACAAAGAGCTGCGGGCAATGTGTTAAGTGCTAAAATAGAGGTGTGCACAAAGGGCTGGGGGCCGGAGGAAGAAGTCATAAATTCTTCCTGGGAAAACAAGCAAGTGAGGGAGAGTTAAAGAAGGTATAGCCATGGCTCCTTGTGATAAACTCAAGACTTCTTCCAAACTGTATTCTCAAAAGAAAGACAGTAATTTTAGGATTTATGAACAGTGCTAATCTCGAGTGCTATATTGCTTTATTAGCCACTTTTATTGATGTTTGACACAGACTTCCGGTTACAATATCCCAAGAATATAAGTTTTTAAAAATAAATGTATTATCGTAATATTCCCACGTGCAACACACAATCCAGAAGAGCACGAACTGACAGTAAGAGTGAAATTTAGATACAGAGTTCAAAGACGTTTTGAAACATAAATGAAGGAAAGACATTCTAGAGACTTAGTAATATTATGTTAATAATGCTTATTTTAAGTATCAATTTTTTTTTCTCTTAAAGCAAAAATAAAAGAATCACCTGATGATATCATGGTTAATATTTGTCTTTCTCTACTTCTGTGTTTAAAAAAAGGAGGAGGGTGTTGAATCAACTTCTACTTAACATCATTTATTATGCATACCATATTCCTACTTATAACATGGTTGTGACAGAACCTCCATTGTTCATTACGCACCAGCCCCAAACTTGAGTAATTCTAATGTAAGCATGAGAAACCAGCGTCTCCTTTGGGGTGAATTTCCAAATTCCTCTGTGTTAAATTGAGGTCTAATTTTCCCTGTGCCTGGTTTTCACAAGAAGGTCCACTCCACCCCATGTGCTCCTTTTCAGCTGTCAATAAACAGAGGCAGTGAATTCCCCCACGGCTTCACAAAGCTAGTTAGGCAGAGCCATTCATTCCTTCAGGAAAACAGGGCATTGATTTCAGCGAGTTCCCAGGGAGCAGCTGCAACAAAGAGATCAAAGGCCCACCTCTCTCTCCCTCCATTGCTTTCATTAGGCCAGGCCCAGACAAACAGCGACAGGTTTCCTTGAGACAGGAGAGGGCCCGGCGGACCACCTCATGGTTCAATTCAAATTCATCCGTTTCCTACATTCCAGTGACAGTCCAGAATGCTAACCATGACAAACCAGCACAATCGTCCAGCATAATATACTGCTCGCTAGTTCATCCAAGGTCAGAGGGAGAAAACAAGCTGGAGGGAAGTCCTCTGCTGCTGGGGCCTGCTGAGCCTCAGTGGCCCCCTGACATTCCATAAATAAACTTCACCGGCTCACTCTCCCTTTCTTTCCCCATCCTGCAATCCCACAAGCGATGGTCTCACTTCATCTCCCATTTCTTTCGTGTCACCCTGGCCAAACGCCTGGGACGCTTTAATCTCAACCGAATAGTTCTAATGCGGATGGGTGTGCGGCTCTACGAGCCGTCCGTCTTCGTTCTCACCCTGTAAACTCCTACCATAGGATGAACTCAGAGCCGTAACTCCTAGGGCGTCCCTCGGCCTGAGCTCCAGTGAAGGCCACGCAACCGACAGAGTCCGTTTGTGTAAATTCCGTTTGCAAAACAAAAATGTGAACAGACATAGAACAGTTAGGTTTTTGATGTGAGCTAGGTAATCACCGAAACTGGTAATTCAAGCTCTTAAGTGACGGTCTGTGTGTGAATGAGGTGTGTGTGCGTGTGTGTGTGTGTGGGCGCACGCGCACGTGCGGGAGTGCAGACAGCAAGTGAGGGGGGATGGAGCACAAGAGGGACTAGGAAAGAAAATGGATTATCTTGATCGGTTACCTACACTGAACAGAGATAATTAAAACATTTCCAGAGTCCCCACTGAATTCTGAACTGCTGCTTTGACACAACCTTCGTGAAAGCCTAAAACAAAATGTGTTCATTTTTATTATGTTCCATTCCATCTCTGGTGCTAATCCTGAGTAAACATGGGAATACACGGGTTAAGTTTCAGAATTCCTAAACCAAAAAGAAAATAAACAATATTGGAATGAAAGGTATGGAGGCCTCATTCCCTGACACAGAACACAACCTTCCCACGTAGCCATCTTCTGAGCTTCAGCGCTGATGTGGGGGTCCCCTCCACTGACTACTAGTTTGACTGCCAAAGATGCTATTTTGTATAGGATGCTGAACAGCCCTCAGGGAGAAGACTTTCACTTATTCTCAAGCTGGGAGAGAAATGAACTTAGAGAGTACGGACCTCTACACCGCACAGACGAGGTCGCCTCTTAGTAGCGGCAGTGTGACAGTTCTACCAGGGACCTCAAAGCTGACTCTGGCTCTAACTGATCTTGAGCCTCTGTCTTCTAACTCTTCCAAATGGAGACAAATATCTGGGAAGAATTCCTTTACAAGGCATTGTGAAATAACTATTCCTCAAAAACGATGTATCTCATGGAAGAAAGCTGGTCTTACAAGTAGTACCTCCTTATATAAT